AAGCACTGTATCTCCACAGTGAATTTGTTTGTTATTAACAAGTCCAGAAACAACCTGAGGTGTAAGGTGAGGGATTTATGGTAATTTAGCTGCTTAAAAGGTTTTTCAATTTCATCATTCATGCAGCATGGGTGAGAATTAACAGTGTTTCTGTTTGTGCTGTGTTTCGTAGCATGTTACCACTACCTGTCACTCAGTTCTCAGGCCTTGTCTTAGTCTTTGATGTAACATTACCCATCATTGTGCCGCTCTCGCATTTGACATGAAGGTAGTAAGGCCCTGATCACACAGACAGAGTTTAAGCAGCTGGAGGTGGCTTTTTGTAATTGTTCTTAATGAGATTTAAGTTTGTGCTCGCGGTTTTTGCGTTGCTATGTGCCTTGGGTTTCTACACTCTGGGCGCCTGGCGTTTTTACTGGAGCGCTCTGAACCCCTCGAGTTCAAAAAATTTCAACTCAGAGCAGAAAAGCACTGATGATTTGAGAGGCGGTGGGTCTTCTGTGGTGGTCACGACAACAAGTTTACAGTTGGCAAACAATGGAGGAGAAACTGGTGGTAGCAGCTGCTGGATACCCAGAGCTATACGGCCCGACGATAAACAGCAGGTTGTCAAACTGCCCCTGAGTCATCCTAAAATATGCCTGGAAACATCCATCATGGATGCGAAGCTCCTGGACCAACTGGTGGTACTCCCAGTGATCCACCCTTTTTTTTAGAGTCTCATGTACCCACACAGATCTCTGTTTCCTTGTGCTAAAAGCCTCTCACCCTCAACCAGAGCTACAGCAAGTACCCTCTGCCTCAACATTTTAGGAACTACACACTAATTACTGTGAAATAACTTAATAAACGGTAGATCGTACACAAAACTTCAAGCTTTTACTATACGCACAATTGCAGAGAAGCAGTTGTTGGGGGTAAAAATCTCGAGTCTCAGGCTCCCTCTAACAATGCTCATTGTATATTAATATTACAGTATGGAGGTGATGGGGTGGTTGCCTGGCAACAATAAAAAGGCAGTGCACCTTGTGTGTTGCAACCTGCAGTACACTTTCTGCATGCTAAATTCAGTCTTTGGACGATATGATATTTGCTGATATCACAAAGTCTGCCACATGACGATTTTAGTTCGACTCAGTTCAGAGGCCTTCGATCAATGTGAGACCGGATCAGTAAATATCCTTATTGCCTTTTTCTTGGCTGCTTCCCATCATCTGCCTGAGCTGCCAGCACTGTTTGAGTGTTTAGGAAGAACGTGTGCTTGGATAAAACCTGTGACACACATTTCAAAATAAAGGCGTATCTTAACGATGACAATATGTGTCAGCGTTTTCACTTTGCATCCATGATATCGGATCGTCGATTTATTGATCCACATTGATGTATCATTACACCCCTGGAACATACAACACTCCTGCATCAGTGTCTTACCATCTAACATCTTTTTTTAGTGCTTTCATCTTGGTTTATATTTTGAAACTCCTCACTTTCCACAAAATCAATCCATTTCCACTGTGGTGTGGTTCGACTCTTCACCTGTAATAAGATTGTTATTTCAAAAACAGTAACCTCACTTTGAAAGATCAGACCTTGAGAGAGCTGATTGGAACTGGTTTGTCCACACAATCTAATTGTTATTGGACACCCATCTAAACCCAATATTTACTGGTGAAATCATACTGGAATTATACTGTTTATACTGGACAACAAAACCAGACACCACAGCTGCTGTTTGTAGTGTGTGTATTGACTTTTGGACACCAGATGCTAAGTACAACTCTTAGACTGCATTTTCACTGCCAGCAGCTCTTCGAACTCTCTGGTAATACTACCAGGGAATTCTTGTGTGATTTAATCAAGTCATACAAATAAACTCACATCTTCAACAAAATATTAAAGGCAAAACATACTCATATGTCCCTTTAATGCATCAGTCACATTACCAAATTACCCTCAACAGTAATTCAGAGGCTCAAAATGATCAAATCTTCAATCAGAAATAAAAGAACAAGATAAAGATGAAAAGGTTACTCGCCTAGAATACTGGCCATATTTGTGATGCCTCACTGTTGAAGAAATTATTAATAGTGTGACATTAAAATGGGCAAACAGAAGTCTGGTGTGGTCATTAATCAAAATATGAGTTTATTAATACAAGCACCTGAAGAGAGGGCACCAGGGTTTGTGTCTCAGCTGGTGAGTTCAGAGTGACAATAAGAGCAAGGTCACAAGTAGCAAAAGAGAGCACATACCAGAACTGAAACTTTCTCTCACAATGTGCAACACCAAAAAAAAAAAAAAGCTCCAAAGCACGACAAGAGGTCAAAATTTCAGTCGACAGATGACATGCATGCAACAACGGTCCCCGACCAGCCACAAACCACAGACACTGAGGTCCCTGGTTGGCACGTTTGACTTGATGAACGTAGCCTCGGTGATGTCACCCATTGGTTTGTGGACTGTCATTCTAAAGCCTTGGGTTTCGCATTTTGGTCGCCTTCTTGTTTTTTTGAAGCCAGAAGTTAAAATATTTGGATGAGAGGGTGGAGCTAACCGTAATGCTAGTTGCTAGCTTACTTAGCACATGTTAGCATGTTTAGCTGTGATCAGGCCTGCGGTCAGGGGGGGTCAAAGGGTACAGATGGGCCCGGCCCAAGACAAAGGGGGGGTCAATGAAAAGGTCTTTGGCTGACCCTTAAATGACTGACTCTTATCACTGACAGTACAAGTTATATGTATTTACGTGATGAATAAATGTATTTTTTATAGTGATTTGACCACCCAACACCCCAACTCCCACGCCCACTTTTGAAAATGTTCTCCCCTACCCATCTTTCCTAACAGATGGTCTGACTGTGATAATACTTACGCTAATGCTAATTTTGGGTAGGAAAAAACAGACTTAAAACCATGCAAATAAAATGTCGCCCACTTAGAAAAACTGAACTTCCAATGTCTTGGAGGGTCTTTTGGTACAACCAAACACTGGCCAAGACTTTTTTAGGTGACCAAAACATTATAATTACATTCAATTAGCTTGAAAAAACACTGAAATACTGACAGCTACACCTGCACCTATACTCTGTGAATCTGGGGTTATTCTATGGGTGCCCGGTCTCACTTCGAAGTCGCCGAAATCTGGCGCTTGGGCAGTGACTTGCGGTGATAGAAACCAACAAAAAAGGTGTCCTGTTATAGTTTAATGATGCTTGGCGGCGTCTGGGGGAAACACGGCAGGACACAGATGAAAGTTAAGGAGGTGGAAGTCAAAGTGGGGTGCGCAGAAGGGGTGGTGGATGGGTCCCACTTTCACAGGGACCGGTGTTAGTGTCCTGTAAGATTCTAAAGCCAAACCCTGTGTTTGTTCCTAAATCTACCCACTTGTTTTTGTTGCCTAAACCCAACCACGTGTGTTTCGTCAATTCGCAGTGTTTTACCGACGTAGTGCTTTTATTTTGAAAGAGACTGTATGCAAACTGTACATTTCCAGTGAAAACAGAAGTGTATTTTGAAAGACAACAATACAATACAATGTAACAGGCAGAACTTGACACGGCGTTCCAGGATGTCAACAACCAACATACCCAGGGTACCTAACCTTGGACGTTGTATCTGGACGTGGAAATTCCATGACGAAAAGTCGATGTGACGAGGTCGGAGTGAGAATGTGTTGGCCATGGTTACATTACCTATCCATGTTTTGTACCAGGCTGTAAACAGGTTTTTTTCCCTACTATAAAGTCGGCCATTTTAACCTGGGGGTCTATGAGGATTCACTTGCTGTTGGAGCCTCGTGTTGCCATTCGAGGAACTGCAGGTTTTTGTCACTTTGGCACAGGCTTCACTTTGCAGCCCTGGAGGTTGCTGCTTGGTTAAACCCTATGGATGCCCTGAATATCTGTCTTCTGTGTGTCCTTATTTTTGAAGTTGCCACTGTTCTGCCATGGTGCTGACACCGCTGACGAGTACAAAAAGTGTGTGTGTTTAAATCTTAGTATGCAGATTTTCACATGGTGAGCCTCATGTTTGCAATACTTTACGTTTCAGAACAATTTGCTGAATATGAGCATAGAAACAGTTTATTCTTCACTTTGTATAACCAGTTGATACGTCTTGTGTGAAGAGTGTCACACCCTGACATGGGAGTCACGGATTGGAAAATCTTGTTGCCACCCAAACTTACAACAGAGTTAGAAGTGAGAGCTAAAGATGTCCTGTGTGAAAACAGGAAGGAATCACTAACAAATCAACTCTTTAAGGACGGCATCATCACTTCCTGATTCCTAATTCCCTATTCTCTCACCCATGGGTGGCTGCTGAGAAGAAACAAGTTACAAGTGGAGTTAATAAAGTCAGAGAAACAAAAGAGAGCTGGTGCAATTGGTAACTGGACTTTAAGACCCATGCAGTGTTTAGGGAGGGTACATGTTGCTTGAAGTAGCCATGCTGCAAACAAAGAAGTACTGAAAGTAAAGCATGAGAGGACTGCTCCATTACTCAGAGTATGCTGCAGTGTTATCTGTCAATCATCTTGCTCTGAGTTATACGGAGTTGTGATCCTTCAATACACTGCTTCACATTCAGACACCTGACTGTATGTGTTTATGTGTGTTTTGTAATGGCTGCTGCAGTAACAGGCCGAATATCAGGCAGGAAGGGTGTGTGCGTTGAGTGGTTTCCTCTGTTGGAGCTTGGCTGATCAGAGCAAGCCGAGTGTTAAGGGTGTGCTCTCGTTAGGTTTTTGTGGTTGCAGTTGTGCTACCAACCTTAGTTGCCTGCACAACATCACTACTGTCACCGTGTTTGTGTGACGGGGGGTAAAAAAAAAAAAAGATTAAACATGTGCTTAGCTGGCTGAGAGCTGTTGAGCCTGCACTCGCCTTCCTGTGGCCCTGGGCTTGAGAACCTCTTTCTGATTGCAGCTTGTCCATGTGACTTTGGTTTCCGTTGCTTGCCTGCTTCCGTGAATAGTAAAAAGAGGCAGCAGTGCTTCAGTCAGAGCAGAGGAAGGCAGCTGAACCTCACGCACGAGAACACACACTGCAACAGCGAGTCAACTAGCGATATGGTCAGGGGATCAACCGTCAGTGGCTTGGGAAATCCACACCTAACCACCAGAGTAAGTAAATGCACTGTGCACTAATCTAGTACTGCAGTATGCACTAACGCAACAACTGCTAAGAGACGCAAACTGCATGCTTTGCCTTTGAATTCAGACATATTTTGTCTTTGGCGTTTGAAGGAGGTATCTTATTGATCACCTGCTGTTGTGCAAACTAGAAATCCTGCGAGTGCCATGTAGGATCAGTCATAAAGAGTCTTGTTAGAGCATCAGCATGAAACAACAGTTTTCAACATATTTATCAGTGTTGCATAGAGTCATTATTAATGTTTCCAAATTTGTTGGTAGTGAGAGAAATGCTCCTTGAGTTATGGAGTTTAAATAAGTTCAAATAACAAATGTCACCTCAAGTTAATGCAGATTTTCAGTTTCAGTTTATGTGTTAAAATAACATATCACATATTCTATCATTATTATGATGGATGGATGATATGCTGTAATTCTGTGTAATCCATACACAATGTAAGCATGTTTATATTACATTATAAAGCCAGTAACACTCCGAAAAATGTCTTTTCTCCAGTGGCTGACCCTTTATAAAGTTTAGAAACTATTGTCAGTAGATTGGTGAGGATACACCGTTTATTTAAACACTTAAACAACAATAAAGTGAATAAAAAGTGAGAAAATGTTATTATATAAAAAAAGATGTCGTGTGAAAAACGGTGAGGGGTTTTAATGACGCCCCCAAAACAACGCACACGTCCACTAAAATGCAAAGATTAAAATGCGTCTTCGCCAAAAGGGAACATAAGGTCATATTCAGTGTGCGTCACGCAGTGGTTTGACTTGAAATATGGGAAATTTCTTTAAAATGTCCAGCTGCTGTTCTTTGGAAAAATACCATATCATAGATTTACATCATGTTATTTAACTCCACTGCCAACTTTACTGAGCTCTATCATTGCGTAGGGTCACAACAGAAAATGCAGATTACATGCTACGGACATCAATAATGAGAGGATTATGTTCCTAAAGCATGAGAGACAAATGAACAGGACAGACATATTGGAATATTTATAAGCACTATAAGAACAATTATGACTAAAAATTAAAAAAAGACACTTAATTTCCTGCATTCAGGTGAAATTCTAAACACTGTAAATGTATTTAATTTCGTCAAAATAAAACTCCTCTGCAACTTTCATGTTCTAGATATTGAGGATGACACGTCCCCTGCATCTACAACTATGGTTTTGACATGACTGTCTACATCCGTGACCTCTATTCTGCTTTAGCACTTTAACGCCAAGCTGCTGCCTCTCTCGTCTGCTAGTCCAGTTTAGAGTGGACAGATTGATTTCCTGCCTGTTGCATGCATAAAGCACATATTTGCATTTTAAGACATCATTTCAAAATGTCATTCTACCATATTATCAGGAAATCATAATGACTATGTTTTAACCTGAGGAAGAGCGAGGCCAACGCTTGCATTCAATACACTGAATCATCTATGGTCAGCACATGCCCATTTGGCTCAATCAGCACCCTTTTATCACCCTGTCAACAGTGAGGATGTTAAGATGCCAGTCCACAGACTCACTCCCATCCTGCTGTGCTTGTTACCCATGTTGGGAATCCTGACGCCGGGCTCGAGTCATCCACAGCACAGCCGATGCCAGCTGGTAAGACGTCTGTTTTGTCTCAGCCTTACTTATTAAAAACACATCTCGAAATAAACTGAGCTGTCAGAGGGAGTATCTGATGTAAAGGGCAAAACCGTTTCTGTTATTCTGAAGAAAACACTGCACTTTGTGGTAATCTTAAAGCATACGGAGATAACTGCCTTCTGCTAGACCAACTCACACGTATAACTTTGATAAAAAATACACTTTTGTTTTTTAAGGCACCATGACAACACTCATTTACTCTGAAGCTGCGTTCAGTGCTTATCAGATCTTCTGTAAACACGACACTGTGACTGAGATTAAAGATATTATTTTGTGGGCTCGGAAACACAAAGTGGGTTATCCATAATACATCAAAGTTGGTTCGCCACTTCATTGAATATTTGAATTATGAGTCATTTTCACGCTAAAACTATCCACTTTCTAATAAACGATATTGTCTATACAGTGGGGTTTATCGCTCACAACACAATTTCACATATACAACAGTGGATTTCTTTGTCTGTTGCAGTGGAAGAACCCTTTATTATTGACTTGCCCACCTTTTAAAAAGCCATGAACTCGGCATTTGCAAGATTTAATCAGCTCTTAATCATTTGGGTTCAGTCTGGAGGCTGATTGTTTCCCTTAAGATAACTGGTCGTAAGTGGTCAATAGCATTTCTGATGAATTAAGTAGCTAGTTAAAAAGTTTTCACAACCAGGCAATGCCAACATTTATTATTAATATATTAATCAGTAATTAGTCATTTACTAAATACTAATAAAGACAGTTTTTCCAGCTTACAAAACCTTTATAAAGAATGCTGTATTGAAAAGTGGTAGCCTGCCCTACACAATCAACCAAGAAATAGGCAAGAAAACAAAATTTGTTAGGATACGATACGATACGATACAATATGATAAGATACAATACAATATGATACGATACGATGCGATAGGAAAGTATGATATATTGACACCATAGGGAAATTTGCCTTGGACTCACGTGCTGCACAAGTATTGCTGCCTCACATAAAAGTCCAGAAGAAATGAAAAGCATACACCGTGAAAACATAAAAACACATACTATACATAACATCAGCACACAACAGAGCAGCATAAGCAAAACAAGCAACATTATTTAAAGTCTTAATTAACCAGTATCGTCTGCCCGAGGGTACATTTGTTCAACTCGCATTGTGTCCCGAAAGCCTATCAGTGTTGAGACCTAGTTGAGATTCTTTTGATGTTACTAAGAATGAGAAATAAAGGACAAAGTCATTGTTGTCATTTTGTGACCCGGAGCTTTATGACTCAATGTCAGTACTGTACTGTACCGAGAGAGAATAAAAAAAGAAGAGGGGTTGAAGAAAAGTGAGCAAAGCCATAGGACTACATGGTAGGCCTGGTAATATGTAGTCTGGGGCCGTTTAGTGGCCGTTTTGGTAAGGAACCGGAACCAGGGCAAGAGAGACAGGATCCGGAATTCGATGGATGCGCCTTTCCGTGAAAATAAAAGCACCAAGCTAATAAAAATGTGGTGAAACTTTTTAATTTAAAGAATATAACTTACAAGAAAAGCCCCAAGCCATTAAGTTAACCTTTTTCTTTTATTGTAAATCGATGGTGCACCAGAATTTAAAGTTTTACTTTGGTGAACACTTTTACTTTGGTGAATTTCGTGAATTTTGGATCCGCTCTCTAGACTGGAACCAGAATCCAGACAAAATTCAGAGTGAATGGAAACCAGGCTCTTCGCCGTTTGTGAAGAGCCTGGTGACGTGAGGCTAGGTAACATGTAGCCTATTTGGGATTTGTGTTTTGTTGAGTTGCTACTTAACAAAATTTTAAAATTCAATGTGAAAGGTAACAATTGAAGTGAAGTATTTATGCACTGCCGTGGACAATATGAAAATTAAAGAGTGCTTTCATCTCAGCTCACGCTAGTTCAGAGCACAGAACGTCTGTGTTTACCATGTTCACGTGAATCCAGCTATCAGTTTTATGCCTACTTTACTATGAACCAAGTTAGCCGTTAGCTGCCTTCCCCAGTTAGTTAGCCAGCTGCTGTTACGGGAAAATATTTGCCTCCAAAAAACACTTCTGTATTCAAAGTGAACACATCAAGAGTCTATAGCCATGCTGACAGCTCTGTGAAGCTGTGGTGCTTTGAGCTAAATGCTAACATGCTAAAATGCTCATAGTAACAATGCTAACATGCTAATGTTTAGGAGGTAATATCTACCAGTTCACCATCTTAGTTTAGCCTAATGATAATCAACACTAAAGTGTCAACTGAATCTGAGGGGAATGCCATTAGTTTAGCAGGTATTTATAAAAGTTCATAAAGGAAAGTATTGCAAACCAAAGTCATTTCAATTCATCCTCTAGGGACCTTGAGTATGTATAGCTAATTCCACTGCAATCCATCCAACCTTGATTTATTTTACTCTAGATCAAAGCGGTGGACCCACTGACCGACAGACTGACATCCCTTGAGCCATGCTGCAAGTGTGGCTATAAACTAAAAATAGGCCCATGACAAATTTCTGATGCGATACGAGAGGTTACACAGACATTCCCAAAAGAAAGCTAGCTAATAAAACACAAACAGAAGATTCAGCCTTGTGATTTTTGTGCCTGAACCTTGTATAATGTCTAAAAAGGGCAAACAATTCTCTCCCACAAAGACACATTCAATACACAAACACACAAACTTAAAAGTATGTGTTCTCCTTTTCTTCACAGATACAAAGAACGGCTCTCTGCAACAATGGCAAGCTTTCCTTTGTGCCTGCAGGACTGCCAGACAGCCTAGAGGAGCTTCAGCTCAACTACAATCACATTCAAACACTACAGAACAGCTCTCTCCGTTACCCTGCACTAACCACCCTGAGCTTAGCATGTAATAGTTTGGAGAAGTTAGAACCAAACACTTTTCAAGACTCAAAGTTGATAGAAAGCCTTAATTTAGCAAATAACAATCTTCATATTGGCTACCAAGAAACCAGCCTCGCGCTCAGGACTCTGCCCAGGCTCAGAGCTCTGGATCTCTCTGAGAATGAGCTCACTGACGAAATGGCCGCCACTCTCCTCCAAAATCTGACCTCCCTGGAGTACCTTAATCTTTCTGGAAACTTCTTGATGAGACTAGATGAGACGTCGTTCAGGGATCTTCACCAACTCAAAGAGCTCGACCTACAGAGAAACAGCATGTATGAGATCGATGGTGCCTTCGACAGCAACCCCAAGCTCCAGAGACTAAACTTGGCCTTCAACTCTCTGCTTTGCCTAATAGACTTCCACATGGCCCAGCTTGTGGTCCTCAACGCCAGCCACAACTACATTGAGTGGTTCATCTCCAGGCCAGACCTTAACGACACTTTCCAGCTAGAGACACTTGATCTATCACATAACAAACTGCTTTTCTTCCCTTTCCTGCCTAATGACAACCACTTGCGCAATCTTTACCTATCCCACAACAGCATTAGGTTTTACGAACACTTGGCAGACAATAACACATACCCGAACTCGACTACAACTGTTGAGTTCTACAATATGAAGAAGTACACAGGCAACGTGACGGCTCAGCTGTGGGACGACAGCCTTCATGGTGACATCTCCTCTTTGGAGATTTTGGATCTAAGAGGAAACCAGGTGGAGTACTTTCCTCAAGGATTCATCCAGAAAATGCCTGTCCTGTCCAGACTTCAAATGTGCACGAACTGCCTGGAAACCTTAGATCTCACATCAGAGCAGTTCCCTGGCAGCTTGTATGAGTTGGACATTAGCAACAACAGGCTGAACCAGATTGTAGCAGATAGGGGTACGCTGATCACTCTTGGTAATCTGACGTACCTTAACCTTAGCCTTAACGCTCTCGAGGAGTTACCCTTGGGATTTTTTTCCTCGTTGCCAAGCCTCAGGTCAGCGGATCTCAGTTACAACATCATTGACATTTGTCCTGCTGAGGAGGCTGAAACCAGTACAGACACTAGCTCTGGTTGCGCAGATTGGACAAACAGTGTATCTCTAACGCAGCTTTATCTTAAAGGATGCAACCTTCAAAGAATTCCATCGTCTGCATTTGCTGGGTTGTCTTTAACGCACTTGGAACTGTCCGACAACCCTGGAGTCATTGTCGATGAATCAATACAAAGTCTCAGCAGAACGTTACAGCATCTAGGTTTAGGAAACACTCACATACAAGACTTTGACTTCTCCCATTTCCAAAATTTGAAGTATTTAAACATTTCACAGAACTCTCTTGCCCACCTCCCCCCTTCACTTCTAAAACTTGAACTGAAAGTGCTGGATTTGAGGGACAACAGACTGTCCACTATTCCCTCAGGTCACGTCAACGCATTAGCCCCGAAACTGCACACTGTCTTCCTCACAGGAAATCCGTTCAACTGCTGCCAAACCGAGTGGTTCAGGACATTTGAATCAACAAAGACAATCAATATAGTCGGACAATCAGACATCGAGTGTGAGGATCTCATCCAAACGACACACAGAATAGAGCACTCTCAGTCATTTTTGTGTTTGGAGATGGGCGGGGAATCTGTACTCTGGTACATTCTGCTTTTTTTACCCATCTGTCTTTCATTCGTGGGCATTTCGGTTATTGTTCTCCTCACATTTAAGCCCTCAATAATACAAAAGTCAATCAAAAAGAAGTGCTTGAAGCCGACGTCTTACTGATACTTTATAAACCCCAAACAACTGTGTACCGTATGCTGTTGAGAAATGTAACTGAATGTATGTTGGAAATAAAGTCACTGTAAAAGTGTCAACGATGAAGTGAAGTGCGGTTAAAAACCAGACAACAATCCTGATAACCTGATGTAAAAATGTGGCTGCAGTCTTGTGGGACTTGTGTGTGAGTGTGTTAGTGTGTGTGTGAACATATGCAGAAGTAGTTCGATGCAAGCTGTTGCTATAAGCAGCAGAGGAAACATGAAATTTCCTGTTTTGCTAAGATGTGCAGCAACTGCCCAGTTCTGTATCTCAAAGAGGAGGGCTCTGAGGTTTCCTTCCCATCAGAGAAGCACAGATGCAACATAGACATCAAATTCCAGTGTGTCAGTGCTCCTGAGGAGCTGGTTTGGACCTTTCTATTGATACTTGCTCATCTATTTTGCCGTGCACTTGGCAGCAATGCAATAAAACACCGTTAAGTTCAAGCATTTTTTTACAGATATTATCAGAAACATTGCAAAGCAACAGCGTCGTCTAGCACGGAGGGGAACAGCAATGCATTTCTCTACCTTTGTGTGTATGTGGGTAGTTGCTCAGGAGTGGGAAGGCTGGTATATCAGTGTGTAGCTGTGCAGTGTGCTGGAGGCCTAACCAGAAAGTAACCAGAATACCGCTGTGGTGATGCTCAGGGTCATGGTGGTTGGAACATAAAAAGAGAAACCGGAGCGAAGCTGTGTCAAAGCCTAGAAACACTCTAATTTTTACGCATCTTTGAGGACATTAGCTTATCAGTCAGTCAGAGAGTCAAAACATGTTTTCTGGTGTTCATCTGCAGAGAAGGGAGGATCAGTTATGAGCATGTACGTGGATTCAACTCAGGGCAGCAGCTGACTAGAGATAGAGAAACAGGTCTGTGTCAAGAAATCATCATTTGCGGAAGGCACTTTGCATCCGGTCACAGATTGTTGACCAAGAGGAATTTTATTTGATTACTCAGCTATATTAGGTCAAAAGTTAGAAGACAACTACGGGGCATTCGCACAACATGGCGGACAGACTTAACATGGTGTATAAATGCAGAGATGTGATTGCACAAGCCACAATCAGTGGTGGTCAGGGAAGCAAGCGTGACCACAGACAAACTATACACATGATAGGACCGCCCAGCTAAGTTTGTGGCGTGCACATAGCACAACAAACTTGGAAGCTTTTTTGAATTTGCAAAACAGTTCGGCTGTGGTTATTTGCTCCGTACTTGAACTACATTACCAAATATACACCACAACACTCTGAGCAAGTGATGTGGCAAAAGTGAAACAGGCTTTTTTTCTTTCAAGTAGTGGTCACAGTTTCTCACAGATAAATACACATGTGAACGGAGAAGTGAAATGTGACCTGAAATGATCAAATGAGGTTCTTTTTGGGTGCGATCTGACAGCAGGTGAGCACTGTGGTACCTTTGAGCTAGATCTATGTACAATCTAGATACAGCATATCCGGGTACATTATACCACAAGTGGTCAGGGTGACTAAATGTGTTCCTGGTTGCACTGAGCGGTGCCATGACAACCAATTCTACTGTTGATTATGAACTGTATCTTCTAAATATGATTCTGGGAAACATCTAGCGTTGGTTCACCAGGTTGAGTGTAAACCGTAGAAAAGGTGTATGTATGTATGTAATTGGTCTTATCTGTGATGTCACTGAGGCGCCATTTTGGAGGTATAGCTACAGTGACTGGTACAGTAAACAACACAAATAAGTAAGTTATCCAACCTATTAAACTGTCAATCTGGAGAAACAGAAACACAAATATCGTACTTCTTTCTTACCATATACAATTAATGTCTAAAGTTAGGTACATTACTACTACTACACTTATATGACTAATATTACAGAGGTCCACCGCTAAATTTGGTGTCATATTTTACTCAGTAGAAGTCCCATTTAATAAATCAGTGGTTAAAAAATGTGTATACTGCATTGTCAAGGCAGGCGAGCATCTGGGAAACATTACGATTATTTACTTAACATGGAGCTGAAATAATTACTGAATTATGTGAAATTTTGCAGTATGAGTTAGTGTCTGTTTTAAGTCGTAAGAAATCATAAATCATTTTCTAGAGGGAGTAGATGTTTATGGTAAGCACTCGGCTGGGTTAAACATAGCAAGGCAAACTAGAGATTGCTCCTGTAATCGTACGGGTCCATGTCATTGGTTAGACAGCCCATTGGTTCGACATCCCATTAGTCCAACTGTCCGCGGTGCTGAACGGCTCACGGCGGGCGTATGGTGCGCCGCGACCGGCTTGAGGCGGAGCAGGCTCACGGCTTATGAGTTTGTCACTTTCTTTTTCATTTTAACCCACACCATGATCTTTTCCTGACCCTAACCAAGTGGTTTTTGTGCCTAAACCTAACCAGACCTTAAACACAGGGCATCATGATAATTTCAGAACAGACTTCGGAACAATGAGTTTAATATGGTCGGAACAATGGGATGTCGAACCTATGGGCAGTTCCCAATCGTACTCAGGTTCAGCCGACCAAAGCCAACTGTTTTGTTCTGTCTTTACTCGTCAGGGCAGAATAAACAAAAGACTGTGCCTTATTTTTGTTGTCAATTAACACTCTTATAAAGAAATTAACACATATTCAAAAAGAAGTAGATAGCTGTCATCTTCAATACACAATATAATTACACAAGCATCCTGAAGTTCTTTAGAGGCTGACAACCACCACGCTTACACTCTATAAAACAATTCAACCAACACATTCTCACTCTGACCTCGTCACATAGCTATTGACATTTTGGTCATGGACTTTCCAAGTCCAGATACGATGTAAAAGGTACCCTAAGTGTGTTGGTTGTTGACGTTCTGGGACGCTGTGTCAAGTTCTGCCTGTTACATGCATTGTCTTCTTTCATAATACACTTCTGTTTAAACAGGAAATTCACCATTTACATACAGTTTCTTTCTAAATAAACACACTGCGTCAGTACAACAATGCAAATTGATGTTTTTTTCCTGCAACAACTAACGCATGTGGTTGGGTTTGGGCAACAAAATTAAGTGGTTAGGTTCAGTGCAAAAGAACAGGGTTTGACTTTAAAATCTTAAACACTGCTCTCTCTGGTGAAAGTCGGTGTTTGCTGGACCCATCCACCACCTCTATCGCCCGCCCTACACGGACTTTTGCTTCCTTAACTTTCGTTCTTGTCCCGCCGCATTTCCCCCTGATGCCGCAGAGCGCCGTTAAACTAAAATGGCGGCCACTGGCATATCATGCCGAAGTCAAAGGGTGGCTTTTTTTCTCACTTCAGAGTGAGACTGGTTGGATTCATAGGGTTAGTAGATAACACTTAAAATAAAGACATTTTCAGTGTAAGAAAATTACATTAGTTTTAGTCAGTTGGCAACTTATTTTAAGAGGCTGATCAAGATCAAAAACATTTTTGACATTTTTTTGGAGGATGGAATTAAAATAATAAAATTAGGATATCTTGAATAAAATAATATTTTTATTTGTTTATTATTTTACCATAATATACTTAACATACAAACTATTAGATATACACATGCACAAAATAAAATAATAATATTAATGTATAACATAAAATTGGGATATTGAACAGAATAATGACTTTAGTTGTTGTTTAGGATGTTACATACCTTGACATGTTTCAGCGGAAACTTCCGCCTTCCTCCGAAGTGTTACTTGGTGGTGGTTGTGATGTGTCTTTATCAGCTGATCTGTCAATCAGCCGATATCAGCCTAATATGTCTGAGATAAAAGAACAACTAAAGTCATTATCAGAAACTAAAGACATAATGAACACCATTGAACTGTTGAATAGAATAGTTTGATCACTAAATATCAACACAACTTTTTTTGATAGATATTAAGTTGATTCAACTTAATTAAGTTTTTTTTAGGTCAAGGCAAATCATAAAGGTTGTGCTAAACTATTTAAGTTTGTCCTATTTTAAAAGACTTCAGGGATTTACTCAAAAATGCCGGAGTTGAAAGTACTTATAAAGATGCATGCAAAGTTTTACCTGTATTTTTTAAGTTGAACCAGTACATAATTTTTTGAGTGTAATGCCCCCATTTTGGAGAAAAAAAAGTGTCCTCCTGCATGCTCCTGAGGTAGATAAAACATTAAGGGCCGTCTACGGTGGCCTTAAAATTAAGAAAATGTGATGCAGTGCCATATAGACTGCCATACATCCCATAGCATGTTTTCTATAGAAATCTTTCTGTGCACTAGTTCCCCACGGCATGCACCTAGTGCCCTTTTTATTTATTTTTACGCCCCTGAACCTCAAACAGCCTGAGTCCACCACTGCTAAATGTTAACATCCTCATTATGATGTTAAGCAGGTACCATATATACATTTTTAACCATCTTAATGTAGCGTGTTAGCATGCTAACATATGCTAAACACAACACACAAACTGCAGCTGAGGCTGATGGGACTATCATTAGTGTCACAGGTATTTAAATCTCCAACCGTCCCACGGGCATTGCCATTCACATAGAGCCTAGCTGCTAGCATGGCTAAAAAACTAAACAGGCCTCTCAGTAGTGACAAAATGTGTTTGACAGTGAATATGGGGTCTACCTGTTACAGTGTGAGGCACCCTCTTCAGCAAACACATCAGATAAGCAGCAGTTTATCTCCTCACTTCACTTTGTCAGAAACTTTCTGCTACATCCAGACAAACTCATTTCACACTCAGACTTTCTCTGTAGCAGTCAAAAGGAATGTGGAGCCGCCTGATGTGAAGTTGTTTACACAGCATTTTGTATCAGCATCCTCTGTAGCTGCCACATGAAAGCCTTCTTCAAGAGAGCCGAAGAGACTAAGCAAAAAAACTGACATTTTGCTATTTCTCACATCACACGGAGTGAACTGTAAGGAGGTCTGAAGTGGCAGATATCATCTTGTATTTTCTGTGCAACGCGTGAAAGAAAATATAGGACTGATGAAAGAGGAAGCGTTTTTTCTCAGGATCACTCATCTGATCTGCGAACTGGTTAAGGCTTACTTTATCTCGCCGGGCGGAGTTATTTTTAGAGAGATGAAGATGTGAAAGATTAGTCAAGTTTCGGAATTGGAGAGCTGAAAAGTTTTGCTCACAGCTGAGCTTTCATTAGGATCAATTAGCCTCAAATATTTGACTTCTCAGTCTAAGTTTAAATTTGGCATCCATGTGTATTAAATATGTTTCCTCCAACACACTTTAGGATTTGTCTGGCTGCTTTAGCTTTTAATACCACACTATATAAAATCTCTTTTGCTAAAAGGTAACACAGGCTACTGAGGTTAAAGGTTAGTGGTTGATGGGCGCGTGCTGGAAAAAGAAAATATTGTCCTGCTGATGTGCAGGAAGTCAACAGGCAGTTTGCAAAACTCCACTTCCTCTTAACCCTTCCTGCTCTTAAAACAAGGGAGGACGAGGCGCTTTGCACTGGACTTATTGTTCAGCCAGGAAGCGTTTAGTGTCAGTTAATTATGTGGCTGCTTTCAAACTGCTTAAAGTGACTAATGACAGAATGTGAGTGCAAAGAAATAATGTTTCGCTGAAGCTGTGGTCAGAGAGGAGCGCTCATTAGTGAGGTCACATAAGGCCGGTTAACTGTGCCCTTTAAATCTTCAAATGAAGAAATACTAAACTGGGTCAGCGTATTCGTATATTCTGGGGATTCGTATGTTTCTGGTTAACAGCTGCCGGCACTGCAGCGTAAAGATCCAGTGGGAGTTGTGGAGGACACTGGGGAAAGGGTCAGGAGAGAGCCTAAAATAACAGCAGGGAGGAGAGGATCTACTCCCCGCCTGAGCTCACCACATTCTCTTTGAATGTGTCAGGGTTATGAAGATGTATCAGGATTTGCATTAAAGTAAAGTGAATAAAAGAAAAAGGATTCGTCCACAAGCAGAAGAGTGAGCTTTCATTGAGAGGTGTCGTCCATATCAGAATAATTTACCCATGGACCAGTGTAGGCATGATTTCAGTTAAAGTGCTTCTATTTTCCAAGAACTGTTTTTCAACTCGTTTGACCTCTTTCACAGGAACTGTGTCACACTGCCACTGTGGCAACTCTTTAACTGTGTCAAAATCTAAAAGCGTTAGTTTTTATATCAACATTTTTTTGTAGCTCTGCTACACATTTATGAAGCTTTGGCTTTACTGAGAGCTATTGAGGAGAAAATGGTTTGTTTCTGGAGACATTTATTACAAGTTTTCTGTCATTTTTTGACTGTATTTGAGTGTGTGTCAGTGTGTCCTTTCTGTGTAGCAGCTTTCAAAGGTGTTCAAGCATCACTGACAATTCAGTGGTGGAATGTACCTAAATACACTTACTCAACTACTGTACTTAATAATAATTGTGAATCAGTTTCAGCTGCTTTGGTGCAAATCAAAGTGACAACAGGTGCAATGGAGAGGCAAAAGCAAGACAAGCCCCAAAAAGGGAATGGTTTTACATGTGGTGTCCACAGACAGCTGCTCTCTCCTTATCCTTCCTGACTGATTCTTCTCTAGTGTTGTGTTCTGCTAGTGTCCTTGTCACTACTGGTAGCATGAGGCCGTACCTGCAGCCCAGTCAGGTTGCACAGGCAGTCCAGCTCCTCCAGGATGGCACATCCATACATGCAGTCACAAGAAGGTCTGCTGTGTCTCCCAGCAGTTTCAGCGTAGAGGAGATACCAGGAGACCGGCTGTTACGTGTGGAGAGCTGGACAGGGCCGTAGAAGAGCATCAACCCAGCAGCAGGACCATGTCCTCTAGTGGGACCTGTGCTCACAGCCCAGCACCGTGCAGCTTGATTGGCATTCACTGGAGAACACCAGAATTGGCAGGTCCACCATTGGCGACCCGTTCTCTTAACAGATGAGAGCAGCTTCACACTGAGCACATGTGACAGGTGTGAAAGAGTCTGGAGACACCGTGGTGAACTTTAAGCTGCCTGTGACATCATCCAGCATGACCGGTTTGGTGGTGGGTCAGTGATGTCTGGGGAGGCATATCCTTGGAGGCCCTGGGTTCCTCCTGGTGCAGGACAATACCCGGCCTCACGTGGCCAGAGTGTGTAGGCAATTCCTGGATGACGAAGGCATTGATGCCATTGACTGGTCCTCTCGTTCCCCTAACCCAAATCCAACTGAGCACCTATGGGACATTATGTATCCGTGCAACTGACGACATCAAGTACCACCAGACTGTCCAGGAGCCACAGATATCCTCCTGAGACCCTGAGTCCTCATATGAGGACATCACATTTTGGGTTAACATGATCTTAAACTTCATTCTACTTAACTTAGACCTGTTGTCCTCATGTGTGGATGCTTGTTTTTGTGCCATCTAGTGGTAGTAAGAGCACAATACACTAATCCATGTAAAAACAAGATGGCAGCCATCTCTACCAAGTCAGTCTGCAACTGATCCTGATACAAAAGTGGACAAAACCTGATCACATTTTATGGTTGAAACTTGTTTATTCATGATTAACTAGAAAAGCACTCAGAGTGCAGACCTCCACCAAGTAGGTGATATTCCCTCCCCCTCTGCATCAGACTTTGCAGCCTGCATCACAATTAGGTTATTTGCATCACTATCATTATTAGGTTATATATGCCTTCACCATGGAGACACTGTGGTGTATTTATTTCGTTTTTATTTTGTACCAACACAGAATATAATATGTTTTGTTGTATTTTTCACTTTTTTCCCAACACAGAACATTAATTTCAACTTTAGAATTACAATATTTAGCAAGTAGAACAAGACGTGCTTTCCGGCCACCAGATGGCGCTATTTTCACCGTCTTAATTGCTGCTGAGGCTGTCAGACCATAGACTTTATTTATTATTTTATCCACTTTACTTTAACCGATCACCACCAAAATTTGATCATCTGTTTCATCAAAATATGTTCATAACTTTTTGCAGACAAACAAACAGACCAGCGCCGGCGAAAACATAACCTCCATGGTGGAGGTAATAATGTTTGTAGTTTGATGTGGCAACAAATTTGACCAATCTTAGCAACAGTAACAAGATAAAACACTGTTAATGAGGAAGTACTCATTTGAGGACATTGTTGACAATGTTAACTTTTTTAATACTTATCAGGTCCCACTGATCCCAATCAGCTAGGAGAAATTAAAAATGCATACCAAACAAAAGTTTGAGTCTCAGGAGGAAATGTATTATTCTGAAATGTGCCATTGAGTTGCATTTTAATACTTATGAACTTTTACTTAAGTCAGGTTTTCAATGCAGGATTTTTACTTGTGGCAGAGTACATTTACACTGTGCTAATGCTTCTTTTATTTAAGTAAGGCATCTACACAAAACCTTAGATAAACATCGGTGTTCCCTTTTAAATGAGACAATGTATGAAAATGGAACAACAACAGCTTTCTATTTACTTTGGGGAAGCCTTGGATGGGTGTTTTAGGTGAAGAGTTCAGTTTCTCTAATTCAGTTAAGTGTCTCAGTCTCACATGATTCTACCAAATGACACGGTCAAAACATTTCCTCACTTGTACCAACAGTGCAGCCAGTCACATAACATAGAACACACAGCAGACTGATCATGTTGCTGTCCTGCCCTCTAGTGGTTTCACCATGAATCACATGAACTCAACAACAAGGCAACTATTTGCTCAACTTCTGAAAATGTGCACTCACATACATAAATAAAATCCCAAAAACAGAGAGGTGATATTTTCCTTATTTTAATGTATCATATTGTATATTTATTTTACAGTTGATGCTATCTTGTCAGTTACACACAAAACAAAAAGCAGCCATGAAATAATATACTTAAATCTCCCAGGATGTAACAAGATTTTCTTTTCAAATGCAGAATTGAAATGCAGGTTTGGGGGAAACTTTCGTTAGTAATGTTAAAAAAAAAAAAAAGTAAAGGGTTTTACTTTAAGGCATTTTCTTCAAGTCAACAAGTCGACCGAGACTTGAGATGATAAACATATCAAAAATTCAAAATTCTGGTTTCCAATTGTCAATAACTTAAATAAAAGCATTCAGGTTCAACACTGAGAGAAGACACTGAGTTGTCTCAATACTGCTGGTGTAGCTGCGAGAAAGGCAAATGGTTTTATAAGGCTGATAACATGTGATAGGCACTTAATGATGACTGGCATGTAGGTATTGTAACTGTCTGGTTATCAGCAGGTTACAACTTCTCTAATTCTGCGTCTGCATCGATCAAACGCACTGGAACAAATCGTTTAACTCGCAGTCCAGGTGAATAAAGCTGACGTGCAATACTTTCGATAATGTTAAAAAAAAAAGAAGGTATTTTAGGCAACCAGATTACCAGTTATAAAATAAGACTTAATATAATCAGCATCAGTCTGCACTTTAAACAAGTGCATTTTTGTATTTTTAAAAAATGTGTCAGCTGTTTCGCTGCTTGAGAAAACGTATTAAAACCATTCAGTTCACCATCTGAGATATATACTGTAAACAAAAAACAATATAACGTTTGGGAGATGTTCTGGCACATATTGCAGATCGCATGGCATCAAACACAAAAGGCATGGAAGCAGGTTTTTTTTGTTTTTGTTTTTTAGAAATGTACTGCAGTTGCATACGAACACGTCAGGGATCGGGGTCCATTTCCTTCAGCTTCACTCAAAATGTTTTCATTCCAGCTTGAGTCGCTAAAACCGAGACTCCTTTTCATAGAAACACAACTCTTTCTACAAGTGAATGGAAGAGAAAGTGAGGCCTGACCCTGCAACACAATATAAATATGAGATCACAGCTGGTTACAGAGGAGGAGGAAGAAGAGGAAGAGGAGGCTCTCAGTTAAGCAACTCCAGGTAAGTGATTGGCACTTTGCCCTTCTGGGTGCCGCGCTCGCCCATCAGCCAGTCTGAATCCATGCCTGGGACGCTGCTGACTGTGATCACCTGCACAGCACAGTGTACATGCAGACGTTACTGTGTGATGTAATAAAGTCTATGTCCATAATGAAGCAAGTTTACAGACTGTTTTCCACATTTATGAAACGCTTGGTTACATCCTGCTCAGGCCACAGTTGGCTCCCAAAAGCAAAAGCAGAGTGGAAAAAGTTGAATGTGAGTATTACAACGAATGAGGTAATGCTGGCCCACTGTTAGTCAACCACATGCTTGTAACAGACAGTGCTTTTCCAGGAAAGGGCGTGGCTAATGTTCCGCTACTGTACAGTGTCAGACTAGGCTCCTTTTTTAGTAAGATGTTAGGTTAGAAAAAGCAAAATAATAATGACGCAATGATTATTTCAGTCTCACCTCATCAGCCAGCAGGGACAGCTCACTGCTGCTGGCAGCATCGTAGTCGTAAAGCACGCGGGCTTTGCGGCTGCCGTTGGAGCTCCGCAGTTCATTGAAGCCGCCCGATGCCGTCGAGCTGTCGCGGCCCGCGGACACGCTGGGCAGGGAGGCCGACACCGGGATGGTGGGCACCGAGATGCTGGCCCCGCCCGACACTGACGACTGGTTGTTGTTGGAGAAGGACGAGGGGAAACTGGTGGAGGAGGGGGAGATGGGTGTTCCTCACTGATACAGAATATTATTCACCAGTCCAATTGTTTGTTATTACTCTCTGTTAGAATAGATAAAGCTTCTCTGTGACCTCCCTGCTGATTAGGTTTCATTTGTTCGCCTTACTGAAAGGTAAAAAGTTTACACCGCCGTACATTAACAGAACAGTTTGATTTTATCACACAAAAGGAAGAGAAGATTATTCAACATCAACACGCTCAAACTGAGACGGTTATTTACCCATTCATAGAGAAACTGGCAGAATCAGAAAGCAAGAGAGAATATAAACACGGTTACTTCAGAAATGACTGACACAGGTTCTGAGAATACTGAGATGAGTGCTGCTCTTATCCCTCATCTCCCCAGCTGCTCCAGTGGAGCTGCTATGTCACATGACTTGTTTTGTGACCTGCCTGGAGAAAAATGCCAGATACTGCAGTGTGATAGCAGAGTTAAGAAGTGAGCGAGTTGTGTGGAGCTGTTCAGGACACAAGGAATAAAAGGTGACAGTGGTGTTTCACCTGCCCAGCTGCTTCTGCAGATCCACCATATACTGGTAACACTGTGCATAGTAAGTAGTCTGGGCCTCGACAAAGTCGTTCAAGCAGCGTAGGTGGTGTGCCTGAAGAGTGAGAGAATAAAACTGCAAGTCAAAGTTGTTTGTAGTGAAAACGTGTTAAACTCAATTTTAAATCCGCACAATCTGATAAACAGCACCTAAAAAAAAACCAGCAGCACTACGACAATACCCCTTTATATTATTTAATTAATGGTTATATGATGATTAAAGTGGAAGCTTGAGAGAGTTAAGGCCTTAAACAACCATGTGTGAACCTGGAGGGTGCGACGGGCTGAGCCGGGCTACATACATGGGTGCTGCTGACGCCCTCCAGCAGCAGTCGGGTGATCTCTGCCTGCCGGTCAAACTCACTCTGGGTCATCCTCAGCTCCTGTTCTGCCTGAGGATAAAGACCCAAAACAATGACTTGATATTTACACAATAACACCACCATACACACACATGAGAGGGAGAAATGATGGCGCCTTAAATACCAAAGGACATAAAGCACGTATGGTTTAAGAATGAGAGTGGATGAACATGTCTCAGACTAACAAATTGATGCCAGTATCTGTACATGTTCTTGTGAAATGACATGAGGAGGGAAGTCACACGCACATCAGGGAGAGACAGGGGGAAAGGACACAACTGCACGTGATGTTTCTGTCCTGAGGGAAATGTTTCCCTTTCCTCATACTGAGCCAAAGGATTCAATATGAGACCTGATGAACAATGGCTTGTTGAGACTCGCTAAAAAAGTCCAACAAACATATGGTCCGGAGCTGAGACGGACGGGGACAATGGCCTCACTGTCCTGAACTCTCCGCAGCTCACATCAGAGCCACAGAGAGCATGTTTGTGTTTGGATCTTTAAGGACTCGTTGAAAGGATTCAAGGTTTTCCATGAGGTACGACAGTGTGTGTCATGGAGGAGATGGGGAGAAGGATAGACAGCAGCTGCTACCAGGGGGTTTGCTGTGTGTGTGTGTGTGTGTGTGTGTGTGTGTGTGTGTGTGTGTGTGTGTGTGTTCAATTCAAAGATGGCTCCAACATTCCACTCACCTCTGTCACTTCCTCTGCTCACATCTGCTGCTTTGCGTTTGTGAAAACAGTGACACAGTAGTTAGAGCTACAGCTGCTGCACGGCCGTAGCCAACGCAACACATCCTTACACTGTGTGTGTGTGTGTGTGTGTGTGTGAGGGCGAGAAATGGGCATGCTTTAACGAAACCACACTCTGTAGAAGGTAGCGCAGAAATGTTTCTCATCTGTGAGCTTTCACACACCCCAACCACCTCGGGCGCTCTGTGATCTGTGTGACATCGTCTCCGTGTAACAGAGCACCATCTGCCAACAGAGATTAAAGGAGACCTGGTGCTAGGGTTAACCACTGTTTACACCTCCTGTTTTTATGGTTACTCTCCTCTTCATGAGAAAACACAGATACTGTTGACAGGACACGTTTGTTTGTGTAGATTAAACACACTATTAGACAACCCCGCTGCTAACCACAGGGATAACATCGGACTAAAATAATAGTTCCTTACAGAGTGATGGAGATGAAGCTCAGTGAGTCTCAGATTGTTTCTTGAAGTATTGGTGGAAAAATGTGCTCTAAAGCCACTCATTTACTCTGGATGCTCTGAAGACTGCAGCCAAATAGCTTCACTGGGACACTGCCCAGTGTTGTAATGTCCATCCAAGGCTCTGACATCACACCGCACTCATTAGTGATATTGTTTCTAGTAGTTTTAGAATATCAGCAGCTTAGTTCAGTATCTGTCTCGTCTACTTTCTAACTGGCACATCCATCGTGCTCCGCTCTTGAGTCTTGGCTCAGTTGATAAACACTGAGGCCATTAGAGATATCATGTTGAGACATTGTTAACTGGGAGACAGTCTCGCCTGGAGAGACAAGCTGCAACTTTGAGCAACATAAGATTGTTAAAGTGCCACTTAGAATGAAATGTAGGGTTTGTATGCAGATGACAATGTGCAGGTCAGCACTACGCTGATTTTTCACTACAAAACTGCACCAAGACATTCCAACACTAGAACAGCCTTGATCAGCCCATACATAAAATATCTCAACTGTATATATGTGATGTTTAAAAGCCTCAAGCTCCAACATGGTAACAAACTTAAAAGGATAGTGCACCCAAAAATGAAAATTCAGCCATTATCTACTCACCCATATGCCGACGGAGGCCCTGGTGAAGTTTTAGAGTCCTCACATCCCTTGCGGAGATCGGCGGGGGGAACGGGCAGTACACCTAATGGCAGACGGCGCCCCAGACTAACGTCCAAGAACACAAAATTGAATCCACAAATTATCTCCAACATGCTCATCCATAGTGAACCAAGTGTGCTGCAGCCGCGACATAAAAAGTTGTTTCGAAAAACGTCATATGAACTCTGTTTTTAGCCTCACTGTAGCCTGTAGCTCTGACTGCTTCTCTGTGCTCCGCGCTCAAGTGTGCGTGCTCAGGGCGATGCACGGTCTCTGAAGAGCAGCAGTCTCGTCAGTACTGATGTCCAGATTCTCAAGTGCAGGCATCACCAATTCCCAGTCTGAGCAGCAAAGACTTTCCTCATCCGTTGGCATTGCTTTGCATTTGAAACAACTACACCACCAGGTTTCCAGTGCTCGACTCCGGTATTCTGCGGCTGGCTGAGGGTTAGGCTCATGAGCTGCGGCAGCTGCTTCGTCCAGTAGCCTGAGTTCTGTCCATATACTCGGGCTCAAACAAATACGGCTCAACAAAGAAATGCTGTTCCTCCTCAATTTCAAAGTCTTCAGACATGTTGGGCTGTCCTTTGCTAAAAGACCGTAGTGCAAATTATCTTTTAGCTCTGTGGTTATGTTGTCTCCCCCTGCAGTGCTTGTGTCACATGATGTAAACACGGGTGAGCAAAGCTCATGCTTTCGCTGGTCTCGCGCAAGCGCGCACACGTGAGCACGGAGCACAGAGAAGCAGTCAGAGCTACAGGCTACAGTGAGGCTAAAAACAGAGTTCATATGACGTTTTTCGAAACAACTTTTTATGTCACGGCTGCAGCACACTTGGATCACTACGGATGAGGAGTATGGAGATACTATGTGGATTCAATTTTGTGTTCTTGGACGTTAGTCTGGGGCGCCATCTGCCATTAGGTGTGCTAGTCTTTCCCCCCGCCGATCTCCGCAAGGGATGTGAGGACTCTAAAACTTCACCAGGGCCTCCATCGGCATATGGGTGAGTAGATAATGGCTGAATTTTCATTTTTGGGTGCACTATCTCTTTAATACTGATCCTAATAATCATGATCTATAGCAGCAGTTTCCAAACTTTTTGTGTCCAAGGCACACCAAAGGGCAAGCCGGAATCTCAGGGCACACCTGTATTTATATCTGTAGCGTCTTTAACGTGTGTTATCACTCTCATCACAACGTAAGACAATAAAAAAAAGAAAAAATAAGACAGGTAGCTTTCGTGATGCTGTCTACTGACTCTAGTCCTTCGATGGTAGTTCGTCCTCTCTGATGCTTTGTTGTAATTTGCTTTGTACAATAAATCAATCCATTGTCCCACTCACAGCTTTCTCTTTTTAAATATTATCATCCCTCACACTGGCTGCCAATCAGGGCGTCTGATATGTCACATACTTGAAATTCCCCCGCGCAAACAGCAACGAACAGGTTCCCTGTGAAGGTTTTTTTAATCAAATTAAATCAAATTACAATTTTTAGCTAGAGTTGCACACCGACATACTGATACAGTCAATTAAAAATGAATTCAGAACTTTTTGTATAGGCCCAACTGAATACTGCAGTAATAATGTGTGGTTATCACGGCGGCAAACCATTTGAGAACCACTGCTCTATAGGGTCAACTGGGTGATGACTGATACAGCACCTGGCTCAAATCCTAAGACACTTCATGTACGCAGGCCTCTACAGTACAAGCATTTGCTCTTATTAGCAAAGCTCAGCATACAAAACATTTTGGCAACCCATTCTCATTTATAACTGGCACTGATTGTCAGTTTGGCCAGTTAAATGTAAAAAGGCAGCTTACAACAGCTGTCAGGAGCTAACCTTAATTCCCTGACTAACTTGATGACAGACCAAAATGTGTACTGTCTGTCCTCAGATTGTTTGAGGTATCACTCTATAACACCTCTGTACAATCTAAGGTTTTTTTTAGCTAAAACTCCAACACACTGAGGAGCTTTCTCTCTAAAACAGCTGATCGCGTCACCTCGAATTTCAGGAAACAGAATCTCCCAGTTAGGGTTGGGCGCTACGAGAGATATACTTTGTGCGACTGAAATGTGTCCACTGGTAGAGATTCGGATATACTGTTTGTACTACGGGTGCTATTCAATGCAGACTATGAAGCAAATCTGGATTCTCACATGATCTTGAAAAAAAAAAGCTGCCTCAAAGATAACATGATTTAGCCAGACATGTAGGAGAGGTGTCGTCTCATGTGGGCAGTTGTTTTTTATTTGTTTGTATGGAAGTTCCAAATAAAAGAAGGAAATAATTCAATGTGATGAAGTATGGTGTGATTATTTTAAACGATTTCTTATCAGAATTTACAGAACAATTACTGTGATATAAAATCAAATATACAATGACAGAATATTTTGGCCACATCTCCCACACCTACTCCCGGTAAAGATTTAAATCATTTCACATCAATAAAATGATGCAGATCAACCTTTAGTTCTGCATAACAACCTTAGGTATTTGGAGTATTTGTATCTTTTGGAGAATACAGCGTGCCACAGTCAGAAGGCTACTGCAATATTATGCATATTAAATCAACATTTAATATCATATGCTGCTATGTAAATGTTCATTTTACAACATACAGTGAGCATCTTGAGAGAGGCACAATCATTATCAAGTTCTAGTTCTAATCTTTGTGGCTGAGTTTTCATCTGCACCCCTACATCTTTTAATTCAAGGACCCCAGTGCCCCCTGACAATAACTGTAAGTGTGGAGCCACGGCTCGACAAATTAAAAGAGAATTCAGCCCAGATGTCAGAAGAAGAAGAAGGAGTCACCATCGCAAGGAAACTGTCCAGAAAAAAAGGAAGTCTAAACTTCCCATAACTGTTCATGTGACTGTATGCAAGTCACAAGAGATAAAATGTTTGGCTTCATGTTGTGTAACTTGGTGTGGCAGTCATGACTTGTGTGACTTCAGACAGACGGACGGTAGGATACGCCCAGACAGCTCCTCTTCCTCTTAAAGACGACTGGCTCATGATTTTAGAGAAGCAGAATTCAATATAGCTGTTTATTAATCAGCATTATAATGACCTAAATAAAGTGAAAGTGTTGCACTGACAGATATGTGTATGTGTGTGTGTGTGCTTACCGCAGCTCTGGCATCAGTCATCCTGGCTTTCTTTAGCCGAGTTTTGGCTGCATCCAGATCCAAGCGTTTGACCTGCAGCAGCTTCCGTTCTTTCTGCGGACAAAACACAAGCAAACTCTCAAAAAACTGAATTTATAGGATTGTGTGCTACTTACCGTCACTGTTTTCTTGCAGATGAGATTAGTGGGCTGTGTTTACGAATACACAATACGCACTGCTCAGTGACAGTGGCCCCCCAGCAGGACAGTACACAACACCCTGCCACAGAGACTGCTCAGGACGTGACAAAGAGCTTAAGGTGGTAACCTGGCCTCCAGATTCCCCAAATCCCAAACTGATCAAACATCTGTGGGACGTGCTGGCACCCCACCTCCAACTTACAGGAGTCCAAACATCTGAAGCTAACACCCTGGTGCCAGGCACCAAAGGACACCCTCCAGAGATCCTGTGTCCATGCCTTAACAGGTCAGAGAGAAGTCCGGTCCAAAGAGGACCCACTGTGGATCAGGGGTACCTCTGGGGTACGAGACGGTCCCACAAATGTTTGATCAGATTCCTGTTCCTCGTGTCATTCCTGAGCAGTTTTTGTGATGTGGCATGGTGCGTTGTCCTGCTGGGGGCCACTGCCATCAACAAGTGCTGTTGCCATGAGGGGGTTTACTCAGTCTGCGACGGTCTTTGGGTGGGTGGAGTGTGTCAAGAAGCATCGACATGAATGCCAGAGCCCAAGGACTCATCAAATCTGAAGCTTTAAAATGTAAAATGATCAACGTTTCTTTGGTATTGTTAATATTCTGGGTTTTCCTGTGGTTAATATAGGAAAAGCAAAAAATCAGCCTGGGACTTCAGCCTATTCCTGTTTAGGTTTTTATTACATTTTGTTATTGATCTCCACCCTGGATCCACCCTCCTGCTGGGATCAGGATAATCCTGACTTTCTAGATCACAGGTTTTCCCAGTTCTCCTAAAACATTTTGAACACTATATACTGACGGTTTAATCCAGATCAAAAACCAAAACTGCATTACATGAGCTAATCCGATTTCAGAGTCCCTTTTTTCTTTTGAACAACCCATTTTCAACATTCGATCAAACCCAACAGCCAAAATCTGATCAGATTACTTCTGAGCAACTGAGCCCTGAATATGCAAGGTACATTTCCTCATCAAACCACTTCACTGCTTACACTTCTTTTACCATTCCTCCCTGCAATATCTAAAACTCCTCTGGTGACAGTAAAGCATCAAAGCATCTGCATGTCCATATCATTAGGAGGCCATCTTGCTGTAGCTGCTGCTATAAAAGCCTTACGACAGGAAGTGTAATGACTGCATTGACTAAAACTTCACTGCAGCTTCAACTGGAGCTGATAAAACCAGATCAAAGAAAACAAACAGTGACGACTGTAATGACCTCATCCCCATGGTCAGCATCATATTGCTGAGCTCAACTTACAAGTGGATCACATGTGGAAGGAAATCCTATCATAGTAATGTTTGGGCCAGTTTCTGTGTTTTAATTCAAACAGATGCCACATCTAGGGGTTATAACAACTATGTATTTTCAGGCAAGATATAAATTTAGATAACACAGTTTATATCGATATAGGGTCAAGCTGCGTTACATAACAAACACCAGTGTTCATTTCTCCTCTCTCACGCTCTCCACACAGCTCTGCCCCACTCACTCACTCACTCACTCACTCGTTCTCCATCAACACTCAGAGAGACACAGAGCTGCTCCTCTGTTTAATCTCTGTTCATTAGTCTACAGTGTGACATCGGTCTGTATGTTGCACATGCTACGCTAAATCAGTCTGAGAGATTATTAAAGTAACACGTGCGATACAGCGCTGCACTGCTAGTTTGTGTGTGAGGTGGATCATAGTGCGTCGCCGTTCTTCTTGGTAGTTGTAGTCTAATGTGTGACATGAAGACAGCGCCTGGATGCAGGCGACAACACAGACGTTTCGTATAGTGACAAAGTGTCTCGCTCCTTCCCTTCCTCGGCCTCTCTGTTGATGCTCTGTGCATAAATAAGATTAATAACCTAAATACATATAAAGATTTAAATCATTTTCCAGCACTAGATTCATTTTAAAAGGCCAACAGATGGAAAACAACTTTTTAACTCCACCCACAAAGATTCGTAATTGTTCCTACAATGGATTTAGACCTACTTGATACCTTTATAGCCATGTTATTGTTCAGTGTCCTGTGCTGCAAACCTTTAAACCTCTGTAGCTCCAGTGCTGTGTACCAAAAGTTAATGTAGAGCCCTGATATTTATTTTATATCATTTTTCATTTCCATGTTGCGCAGCTGTTTATCTAAAACGGGGGAAAAAAATCTGTCTTTGTTTTTTATTTTGATCACAGTCTGTTTTTATTTAAGTGTGTGTGACATCTCAACTTGGTTGTAAAATAGAAAGGGAAAGCCACTTTCCTGTGCACGCTCTACAGCCACTAGTGCTGAGAATCAGTTCAAGATAAAAGTGCAAAGTTCAGTGAAAAGTGAAAGTGAATCCAGACCAGTCGCCAGCAGTCCAACTCACCAGGATGGTTTTGAAGTCACCCTCTAGAAAGTTTCTGAAAGGTGTCAGGAAGTTGATGGCAGCACTTTGGATTAACTCCCGCTCTGCTCCGCCAATCTGCTTCTCCGTCTCCCCACATTTTATCAGAGCATTTCCTGTAATGGTCAGCAGCACAAACACCGTTTCACTCACAACTCAACACTGGACAGGAGGCTGTACAATGTGGCACCACAGTCTCAACAAAGGCCTTAATACTTCCGTCTTCAGGGGACATAAAGGCCTGTGGATGTGTACAGTGTGCTGTAGTTGAAAGAGGCAGCAAGAAGTCACATATAACACTGGTATGAGCCACAGACAACTTTAACCAGGACACAGCAGGGGGTAATGTTCAAGTAAGTCCCAGTATGTCAGGCAGCTCAGTGTATCACTCACCATAGGCAGTGCCAGGGCCAAACTCATTCCCTGACTCAATCATGGACTGGCCCAGCAGCTCATGGTTGTTCATTCGCGTAGGGGCTTTCTTCTCCAGTTTCTCGTACACAAATTCTTCTAGCCGGACATCTGCAGATCGCCACGAGAAAACTTAATTACAAAGTCATAAGACTACAGCAGGGGAGCCAAACATAGGCAGTGATTCTGGGACAGCCTGCCTTACATCTATTAACTAAAATAGAAGCTTTCATGACAACCGTGAAGAAAATGTTACCACATCACGCGGATGGACACTGACAGTCATGGTCGGCACGTGTGTGCTTGGTATGTTGTATGGAAACATAGAAAAAGTAGAACAAATCCAGTTTACAGTGTGCGAGACCGTTACACAACACTGTGAGCAGCAGCTGGTCTGTCTGTGTTTGTTGTGCCTCTGCTGTGGTTGTGCATCATGGTGTGAAGTGAGGAGGATGCACAGCTGAGCTTACAGACTTCACAGGCACCCTACCTACTGATGTATGTCAGACAACATCTCAGAGATGCTCAGGATTTTTTGTGTGACCCCTGGCTTTCTTACTGGCAAACATTCCTATATGATTTGTCAACACATCTACATCAGATATAAACTTTCACGACAGATATTACTCTGATTATCATGACTGAATAGTTGCCGGGTTCACAGGTAAAGCACCTGTGGGTAACCCCCCTACATTGGTCTAAAAGGGGGTCCAGTGTGTGTGCATTGTGTGTGACAGTCCATCACAGACTCCTGAGTGGTCTTACTTGGGTTGGGCTGTAGTAAGACCTCTGTCTGCTTCATAATCCTCTCCGTCCATTGCTTGGTGTTCTCAGCTCTGACCAAGAGGTTCTCCAGATGAGCATCCAACTCTGTCTTCTCAGCCTGGCCAAGTTTCTCCTCTGTGAACTGAAATAGAAAATATCAGGTTAAAGTGTGGACACAAACTGTCCCCTGAAAAGTGAAACACTAAAGTAGTAAGAGTGAGTGGCGGAGGCATGTTTAACGGAAGGTGCCAAGCTGGACAAAGTAAACGTTATCTGTAAAGCTAATGTTGTTAGCTCTATTTAATGCTTTCTGAGGCCTGCTTTAATTTGGTTACATTGAGTTAAGTGTCGGCTATAATATTAAAGAAGTAGCTTTACTTTTCAAAGTGCACTCTAAAGTGTAGCTGACTTTACAGGATACAGTTGTCTCTCTCATGATAACAGGCCACTTAGCAACACAATAAGAGGCGTTAGCTGTTTAGCATACGAGCTAACGCTAACTGACTGTTAGCTAGCAGCTAACGTTGGTTAGCATCAACTTCCATGAACTAGACGGTGAAACTTACTTGTACCGCGCGGCTCAGGAAAGTACCGGCGTCTGCAGCTAACCGTTTCACGTTAAAATCCATGGCACCGCGGGGTAAAACACACACAATTAATACAACGGCTAGCTTGTCTCTCAGTCAAACTGCCATCCCTGTGGAAAATGTCATTGAGGCAACTTTTTGTCGGAGTTCCACCCAGCTGTTGATCCTGACAAAGATCGTATGCGAACAGGATGGTTCACGTCTCCAGCAGACTGACAGCAGAGAGGAAATACTGCGCATGCGCATATCGACAAAAATGTCAAAACAGGAAGTAGACGATAAAAACTAAAGAGCAAAAGTTACTATGAAGTCTATTTGAAGTTATTTCGGTTACCTACCCTGTAAACGGCTGGTGTTTTTATTTTGGACTTAAAAGAAACGACTTTTATCAGCATGCAACACAAACAGCCTACAATTTAATGTTTTATAGGAGTGTATAGTAAGCGGATTTTGTCCTAATTAAAAACAAAATAAAACAAAATGAAATAAAATGGAATAAAATAAAACAACAAGAAGTAGTGAAAATAAATAAGAAAATTGAGATGTGCTGAATGGGGACATAGAGACAGTTAAAACTGGTGTGTGGCAACATTTTTGCTCCAATTTTTAATGGTTACATCTTTTATAAACTTTCTGCCCTTACAACACTAAAACAACAGTAAACACACACACACCAGTTAGTTAGTTTTACATAGGGATGTGGACTAATGTCAGTTTACCACAGGATGTCTGTAATATAAATGTCCGATTCGCACAAGACAAGAAATCTCCGTAATTCTACCAGAGATGGGAGTGGTCACTCGATTTGCGCCCTGGCGTCACCTTCCTGTTGACATGTGCGTGCTACGTTGCTTCCTGTAAGCATCAGCTGAAGGATAATAATAAATAATGATTAGCCCAATATAAAATATTGCCCATGATCAGGATTGTGTGTACACAACGACCTTTTTGATTGTCTCCCACGTAGTGCTATGCAATCATTAGAAGAATGTCCACTAACACTGACTGCTTCTTCTAGCGCCTCCATCATCGAAAAAAACGCGCAAAACTAGATGTAAACACGGAAAAATGGTTGTAAACAGGACGTGACAAAATATTTACATACATTTTTACAGAGGATCGTGTTCGCACGGGATTAATATTACCTGGGGGGTTTTCTCCGGACCATTTTACAGAAGGTAAAAGGTGCCATAATTTTTACTTACATTATACGTAATGATTACAGACATGGCGAGTTCGGACGGGTCAAAATTCCTGGTAATAATTATTTTACCCCACGTCTCCACGTTAAATTAATCCCGTCCAACAGGGCTTTAGGCTATCTTATCTTTAATTGTAAATGTCATAGTTCCAGCCACAAGGTCCAGATTTCTCCTCAGTCATTTGTTTAAATTCCACACAGTTTAATATTTTCGGAGTCATACTTGCATTTAGCTAAGTCGTCAAGCAAGTTTGCGGTCACTGTAGTAGCTGTCCATGACACCGACTTTTATCTGGTGTTCTTGTTGCGTAGGATTATGGAGCCAAACCCTGTTCTTTTTTCCTAAACCCAACCATGAGCATTTGTTGTTGGAGGAAAAAAAAGGTCAAATCGCATTCTTGTACTGACATAGTGCGTTTATTTTGAAAGAGACTGTATGTAAACGGTAAATTTCCTGCAAAAACTGAAGTGTATCTTGAAAGAAGACAATTCATGTAACAGGCAGAACTTGACACGGTGTCCCATAACGTCAGCAACCAACACACCCAGGGTACCTTGCACGTCATATCTGGACATGAAGGTCCATGACGAAGCATCAATATGTAACGAGGTCGGAGTGAGAATGTGCTGGTGTCCCCACCAATATATATTCTAATTACGGCCTTGTACAAAAATAGAAACAATGGTGTTCTCTTAACTGTGGTTTCTACATGAAACACATTCAACCATGGAAAATAAAGCACCTTACAGCAGGGGCTGAACCCATTTTATCATCTGAACCCTGGAGCTCACACCCTTCGCATGTCACCCCTCATTGACCCTTTACCATTGATTTCTTCATGTATTTACGACTGTCACGTCTGAATGAGAATGTACTTTTGATCATGCAGTTGGTAAAAGGTCCGAATACAAAACCTCCAGTCTATCAGATATATTAGAACAATGAATATTTTTCCTGGATATCACCCTGAAGCCTGCAGCCTGGCTGCTGCTCTCTCCCACCATAAACAGGAACATCACAAGATTTAATTTCATTATGCATTACTTCCACACAGAGGAGGAGTGGGAGAGACGGAGACTCATCCGTCCTCATAAGTAATGCATTTTCTTATTAGCAGCAGTGATGGCTGGACTCCAAACTCTGCAATTCTAATGAAAGTGAAGGACAAATTACTGTGCAAGTGAGGCCATTATTAGAGACAGGGAGAGATTGTTGTGACTTTAGCATAGGGTCTGTTTTACACCAAGACGATGCAGGTGTGGTGCATGCTGGAAATCTGTACTGAGGATGATACGATAGTTCTGCTAATATCTTGAGCAACCCTCGACTCTGTCTTGGAAAAAGTCTTGAGGAAGTGGAGTTTGGCAGATTTTGGAAAAACAAAAACACTCTTCAGGTCTGGATGTAATTATGCCAGACAGAGGCTGCTACCTGCTGAGTGGGAGGAAGTCAGGCAGAGAAAGAAATCAAATGACTTCCCCTCTGTAAGCTACCAACGCACCGTCAGCTCATACTCTGTTAAAGGGTGGCTCCAAGGTTTCTTCGTCCACACATTTGTTCCTGCATTTCAGCTACACGACCGAAAATGCTCAGGGTTTTTCCCACCACACGTCGCACTGCCAAGACGTCACGTAACACCAGTTTACATAAAAGTATTGATTTACAATGTTAGGCTTTAAATGTTTCAGATTTGAGCAAACTTGAGCTTTATCATTTTTTAACATAAGCTGTAAAACAGTGACTCCAACAGAAGCCTACACACTGCGTTTCATTTTTTTATACCCACACTATGTCAAAGATATTAAGGCTTTGGCTTTGCTTTACGCTTGGCTAACTCTCAGGACTGCTGGGGCGGGTGCTTTAAACACGTGAATATGGAAGTCAGCACTTTCAGGACGGCAGAACAACTCCTCTGAGGGAGGAATCAGTTGCAGTCTGGTTGTTCCAGTTGTAAATCTGTGTGTATCTGCTCTTTCACTTCGCAATAACAGAAAGCACTCAAGGGCAAAAGACGACCAGAAACCTGCTGAAGCAAAATCACTTTCTCATCAAGGCAAATCATGTTTCCTGAGATTAGGAAATCCCAACCGTCCACTTCGCAGCAAAGAACTAAAGGAACGATTCAGACATGTTAATGACATAAAGGCTCTTTATTTCAGACTGTTTCTTACAAGGATAAATGTATCTCATGTCCTCAACTCAACATAAATCCCTCACACAGACTTTCACTGTCTTACATGATGCAGCTTTGACAGAGCAAATGGATTCGAGTTTCATTCAGTACAAGACTTTCAAATGCGACTGTCATGGATCGTCGTGTCAAAGTGCATCTGCAAGCTGAGAAAGTCTTCTAAAGTAGCTTCGATTATCCGCACTCCATAAATACTTGATAGGTGATAAAACAACTGTATTTAGGGCAAAATCAGAGCTGAACTATGATTGCTGACTTTTTTTGACCACGTTTTCAGCCAGCTCCAGCAGCAGAGGGTATCTGAGGGTCCTCTTCCTCCAAGACTCGGGGATTCCCTGGAGACCGGTCTGAAAACACATCAAGACGACAGCTGAACGCATCAAAGCTTTTACAGAGCTTTCAGAATATCTGAACTCACTGTCAAACCCATCACGATTACAGACAACAACAATATGATAAATTATATATCTAGTTCTAGTTCTAAGGATACTCCTACCCGCCATGTTTTTTCATGACTTGGATATGTTCCCCTCATGAAATGGCTGGTCGTAACAAAGATATTTTATAAAGCAAAATACAACAAAAAGTGATGAAATCGAAAAAATATTTACACACACCACAGGCGAAATAGTGCAGAATAAACCCCCCTTGAAATTTGTGTATGTGCATGTGTGTAATTTTTCAACTGTTGCTTGGATTTAGGTCAAATATGGTCAAAGATCAATGTCACAGTGACCTCATCTGTCTCACTATTGTGAATAAGATATCTCAAGAACACCTTGAGGTAATTTCTTCAAATTTAGCACTAAAGTTTTCTTGGACTCAACAATTAACTGATAAGAATTTACGAGTCAAAGATAAAGGTCACTGTGACCTCATGTGACTCACTATTGTGAATGCAATATTTCAAGAGGGCCTTCAGGGAATTTCTTCAAATTTAGTGTCAACATTCACTTGGACTTTACAAATTAGAATTTGGTGGTCAAAGGTCAAGGTCACTGTGACCTTGCATCTGCCTCATTCTTATGAAAACGATATCTCAAGAAGGCCTTGAGGGTGTTTCCTCAAATTCGGCACAAACGTCATCTTGGACTCAAGAATGATCTGATTTGAATTTGGTGGTTGAAGGGCAAAGGTCAAGGTCACTGTGACTTTATTAAATATTTTTTAGGACAAATCTCATGAATTTGTGTGCTAATTATCACACAAATGTATAACAGGATGTAATGATGAAGTGATGATATATCCAAAAGGTCAAAGGTCATCTTACTTATATTACTTATATTAATCAATGTCATATCTCAGGAACAGAAGGGAAGACTTTTGGTCAGATACTGAGGGCAGGGTGGCCTCACCTCAAGATATCTGAATGAAAATGGGTTCCTTGTGTACCCATGAGTCACCCTTAACTTTAGAAAACTTTTTTTAAATGTCTTGTTCCTTAAAATCAATGTACTCCTTTAAAAAGAACCACCAGCCTATTTGAAAAGCAATGAAACTCCTAATATGTATAAATACATAACACATTGAAACAGGATTGTAGAGTTCAAAATGTTAACTGTGCAGCTGTTGGTCTATGGAAATTAGATAATTAGTAACTGCAACTGTAAGATAAGAAACTAAAGTATATCAGAATGTGATTCCTTAAGTCTCCTTTTGACATAGTTTTAAACTATCATATACTTCAGCAGCATAAGGGAGTTCCTTAAATTCAGTTATGGTTTTTAATTTTGGTGTGCCGCTCCAAGATTTTCCCCATCGGGTCGCCCCTATGAAAAGTTTCTGGAGGCACCCCTGCCAACTTCTACTGATTTCCACCAATAAAACTTTAAAACGGTATCAGTGACTAATGACTGTTATATGCCTGAGAGAAACACTCTGACAGTACCTGCGCCCCAAAACAGGCTCCTATGAAGGAGGCTCGGCTGGCGGTGCATCCCCCGCAGCGCATGGTGTCCCTGACTGCTTCATCCAGCTGTTTCAGCGTCAGGACTCCGTGAAGCGCTCCCTGGAACGCACCAGGCAAAGCTAGACACAAAGCCAGATTGGTAAACAATACAGTAACATATTAGCTATAAAGTGTTCTTACATCGCCATCATTGTTCTTTATGTTATTCACTGGGCCTGATTTAGTTTTGCAGTGTCATTACTTGGACAGACCTGGCCTGCAGAGCTTCACATGTATATTAAGCATCTCAACCTTTCAGCCCTGTAAAACCTGAGACACTCAGCTCAGCGGGAAGGGGAAAATAAAAAGGAAGGAGGAGGGAGACCATTAGTCAGGAGATCAAAGGCTGGAGGACCCGACTAACGGATATACTGACAGGGAGGGTACACATGCCATGCCAAGTCAACAGACCTGGATCCTGCTGCTACTGATGGCTTACCTCATGTGTTTGTGAACACAGCAGGTATGAGCTGTTGGGACGTCTTGGCGAGGTTGTCCTTCACCTGGCGGATATGTGCTTCAGCAGAGATGCGGGAAGAGAGATAAAGTGCATTGTTTAGTGTTTAAACATTGGAGTCCAGTTTTTGACTGTGGCTGCCTATTGTCATAACAAAAAAGGATAAAAGCTATTATTTATATAAAGATGATCATGTTTCTGCATGTTGCAATTTTTGAGTTTCTTACAGTTTTGACCACATTTCCCACAAGACCTCTTTGTTTCTGCTTTCTGCTTTGCCTATCCTTCCCTCTGCTTATTTTTAAAGAAGGATGACAGAGGAGCAAAAATAAAAATAGTTCCTGCTTTATGCTAAAAATCTTCCCCTAACTGAACCCTCAGGCTGTACAGCAGATTTCACACCAAATCCATCCTGATGGAATCGCCTAGCCTATATTATAAAATGTAGTGTGCAGGCTGCTAGCAGCTTCAGGTTTTCACAAATGCCTTGCGCATAGAAATTACACTTACATAGTCCAACATTTTGAGCATTTTGAGTTGTAGGATAAGACGTATGCTACTCTGATAGCTGGGCTAAAGTTCAGTTAGCTTAATCTAACTTTTATTGCCATTTTTTTCTTTTGCTAATCAGGCTGAAAGTTATTTCCAAATTTTGGGATACCACTCCAATATCTGTCCGTTAGATAAAATATGAAGCTAGAGCAAGAAGCTTATTAGCTTAATGTGGTATGAAGACATCAAGCCAGGAAAAATGGCTATCCAGGCTGTGCCCTCAAACATTCTCACATTAGATTGTCTTGTCTGAAACTAATATAAATGATAGAATAAAAAGTTGGGCCCTAAATGAAAAACTCCATCCTTTGGGTTTAGAGGTGCTAGTAGATTGATTTTTTCATTTTTTTATCCAGGCTAACTGTTCCCTCTGCTATCAATCTGTATGCTAAGCTAAGCTATAGCCTCATATTTAAAGGAGCATTTATACTTGTGCAGTGGTGTGTCTGTGTAACTCTGCAGTTATGGCTGATTCAAAACACACATTAAACATGGCTTAATAGCAACAATCTCAATTTCAAGCACGGAAAGTGGCTTCACTGTAGCTCGCAACATTCATAGAAAAATACAGCATGCTAATGTTTTTAGCACAAGCCTATGGCATTTCACATTGTGTAAATTAGCCTAGCAGCTAGCAGACTTTTCCTCTACTCATATGAAGCCAGGGACAACAGCAACATTTAACAAAGATAACGCTACAAAGTTCAGTTCCATTACAACTCAAAAGGTTCACCAACAAAACAATTATCTTATACTAATATAATTTTTTTCTAAACAATTATAACATGCTAACGTTATTAGCACAAGCCTATGGCATTTTACATTGTATAAATTAGCCTAGCAACTAGCTGAGATTTTCTCTACTCATATGAAGCCAGGATTAATCCCAAAGTATAAATCCCAGAAGGATATATCACACACACGACTTAAAATGCTATTTTAGTGGAGGCTTTACTGTCTTCAGAATTTATTGTTTCTTATCTGTGAAATACAAGTAAATACAAGCTTCGTTTCCACTGAGAGAAATGGTTTCAGCTTACAGAAATAGACAGGAGGTCAGAGTCACCACAACGCGTAGTTACATTTCTGGGAAGGTGCACATCAGGCTACAGTATAGGCTCTATGTTGATGGGGCAAGCCAGTTGATTGCAATTTGCAACCTCACCACTAGGTGCCACTAAATCCCACACTTGTCCTTCAACAAACAGTTGATATACCATCTTCTCATCTAGCTTAAAATAAAGCAAATAAGCATGTTTTTCAACAAACATGTTGTTTTAGTGTCAAATTATTCCTCTGAATCTCAAAAGGACTGAAGCTTTAAAGAGATGTGAAGCCTTACCAATGACAGCCCGGTCCAGCTCCTGGGGGTTCTGTCTCTTTGGGTCATTCATCTGAGCCAGAACTGCATCCAGGGCGTTGGAGTCCGGACCATTCAGAATGAAGTGCTCCAAAAACCTGACAAAGTTAGACAAACAAGGATATAACCTCCTTTATCTCCCTTCATGACTACTGTGTTTGATTAAAAGCGTATGATTGTCTTCAGAGCGGTCTCTCACCTCGCTGCAGCCAGAGTCACAGCCACACACATGTCATTATTCTGAGTCACCCGCATGGCTTTCTCCACTTTCTCCAGCATCTCAGGTCGGCCAGCGTACATGGCCACCACCGGAGCCAGTTTAGTTACGCCGTCCATCTGACAATCCACATCAGAGCCTCGAAAAAACACACACATGCAGAGATTACAACCACAGAAAAGCAGAGAGAGGCCGTCATGCAGTTAGGATTTGTGATCTTTACCAGTTTCTTCTTTGCCTGCATCCACATTTCTGAAGAAAGCTTTCAGGCTCCCATTTCTCCAGGGGCCATCTATGGGGAGGATGGCTTTGGGACCTATTATAAATGCAACAACAGTTCCATTATTAAATCAAAGAAAATTTATTACAAAGATAGAGTAGAGAGCTATGACTAAGGGACAAAACAAGCAAGAGAGGAAAAGACACATTTCCTTGATCTTTGTGTTAATGCAGTTTAAGTTTCTGTAGGTGGAGCTCTTTTCTTTGTCTGCTCAGTCATGGCTATCACTGCCCATAATGATGACACAGCTCTTCTTATATTACTCTAAGACATAAAGCCCTCTGCAGTTTACTGTACCCAGAAGTGCCCTGCGCTGTTATGGTGATTTACAGCAGCACTGTGTTTATATGATACCCTGACAGTAAAAAAGCACCAAATATTCAAAGCTCTGGACACCAACCGAGAACAGAGAAGTCTGACTGTATGGAATATTTTCATGGAGAGGGAATTCCCCGCTAGCTGGTAGGAAAACATTGTGTGCAGTGTTATCAGACAGAAACAGAGTGTCTCTCATCCCTGTAGGCCTGTTAAGTTGATGATTGATACTTAATATTGACACTAACATAAAAACAGAACAGGTACCTCCTTTCTTCCTGTAAGGATCATTAAGGGGCAGGTCGTACACGGTCCCTGGGCCAAAGAACTTGTAGATGCGCTTGGTCAAGTCGTCCACGTTAACATCTGCCAACATATGACATAATGAATCTTTAAAAAGCAGTTATGTTAGTTCAAGACCAATGTAACTGTACTAGAAAGCCACAAAAAGGTCCACAGGCTGAGATGTGCTCAAGGTGTGCCTCAAGGAACGTGTATAGACACAGACAGATTCATGTCATTAGCAAGGACTGAAACATTTGCTGCTGTTTTTACTCACTCTTTTTTTGCACTTTGAGCACCTTTTTGTGCACAGCTGTCTTAAATAAATTAACTATTCTTGCATTGATCTGAGCCTGTGGACCTTTTTGTGGCTTTCTAGTCCAGTGGTGTGCAGGTATCTCCTCTGCCGTCCTTTCTTGTTTGTCTGTTGTACTGATGCACCCAAGACAAACTTTTTTTGTTTTCCCAAGTACGCACAGTTTCACAGCAGCCCTAAGGGTTTGCAGCTCAAGATTTAAGACACTGATGTGACTGTTAAAGGTGGTGTGTCACTTAAAAAAGAAAAAGTTCAGCATTTTGGTAAATGCTCTCATTGACTTATTTTGCCAAAAGTTACATGAGAAGATTGATACAACTCTAATGTCAGCAAAATATAAAGTTACAGCCAGCTAGTTAGCTTAACTTAACATAGAGAGCTTATTTGCGTTGTTGCCCCATGTCAGGTAAGTAGATCGATACCACTCTTATGTGTGTCCATTAAATATGAAGCTACAGCAAAGCAACTGTTCAGCACAAAAACTGGAAATGGGGAAACAGCTAGCTTGGCTTTGACAAAAAGCAACAAAATCCATCAACCATGACCTCTAAAGACCACAGGTTAACACATGATGTCTGCTAGTTTAAAGGTCCAGTGAGTAGGATTTAGGGACATCTATTGTCAGAAATGGTATAACAATGTTTTTATTAGTTTATAATCAGCTGAAAATAAGAATTGTTGCGTATTTGTTACCTTAAAATAAGCTCTTTATTTCTACATTCTGAGTGGGTCTCCTCCACAGATCTACAGTAGCCCAGAACGGACAAAACAAACACCGGCTCAAGATGGGATAACTCTTATTTTTGTGTTTTCATGTTTTAGTGTCAGCCATGTTCAACTGCATGCTAGGCGCACAGGAGATGTTTCAGTCGGTTGCAATTTGCAACCTCACCACTAGATGGTGCTTGATCCTACACACTGGACCTTGAGGAGTATTCATGTGCTGGATCATGGGTTAGGTTGCAAGACTTTACAGTGTCTTGTTGACAGGAAGTAACCCCAGATGCCTCAGGAAGTCAGGTCCAGCCCATAAATTAATCACCTCCAGGCTGTTGTTTTATATTTAATGTATAACCACTGCACAGTCTTTTCCAAAAAGTGACAGTAATGGCAAATCTTCAAATTTGAGGTATCTTTAAAATCGCTGAGTCATCCACCTTGCATCATAGAGAGCAGGATTCATGGGAAATACAGTCTTAATTTTACAAAGAGCAACATTATCAGAATCTTAACAGGGTAACCAACTAATCAATCATCGTGTTAACATATGACTTATAGTTGCTGCTTGTTTGAATGACTTTGAGTACCTCCACACTGGCTCAGTGACTCCAGCAGGATGTACGCCTGGTCTCCATAGCAGGTCTGCTCGCCTGTTGTCCTGCGGTAGAAAGGATTCGCTGACTGAGGACGAAACTCAGGACAGGGCTCCAGATCGGAGAGAACTTCTTTGAGCCTGTCTTGACTGTAGATCCAGTGCATGGGCTGGGCTGTGAGGGTGGGTAGCACACAAACACACGCACGAAACATGGAGAAAAATAATGGAACATTCAATAGTTTTGTTTTTGACCTGGTGTGTGTCGGTAACAGATAGCATGGAAAGGGAAATAGATGTGTGCTGTATTGGAGCAACAGGATCCTGAACCTAAAGCCGACATGTTCAGCAGTAATCAATCAGGAACTAACATTTAGGATTACTCCCTTTAGTATGCATCATTATACAATGAGTTCACAATGACATAAATGATAATTTTGGTCATGAGTTGCTGCAGAAACTGTGCTTTCATAACATTGACTGGGGGTCAACTTGTCTTACATATGTTAGGGAACCGCCCCTGTTTTTTATCAGCATGTACAGATGTTGCTCATGGACAGTGCTACTGATAATGCCTCAGTGCAGCACATGAGAAAACAGTGAAACACTAGAAAGCTTTAACCACAAACTGTGTGATCCAAACAAACAAGTGCAATGCGAGAAATAAACATGTACATAACATGAACCAGTAGAAGCTCTATGAAAGCAGTAGGAGTATTAATTATTGAGATATAGTGTGGGAAGGGAAGCTCTGGTTTGTAATATGGAAAGCCCTGTTGCTGTAATTATCTCGGTCCCAGCACCAGTATCACGCAGTTTATCTTACCTGCTGCATCTGCCACTGCTGCCCCGATAATGGCCCCAATGGCTCGGTCTGCCAAAGTCAAGGCCATCTGCTTTAATTTCAAACACAAGTACAAACACAAGAAATAATGTGAGGGATTTATGGTTACTTAATGGAAGAGAAATATGCTCTATTGTTGTTGGAAATGATCTCATGCAGCCAGGAACTAAAACATTTTTACACATTTATTTTGGTAGAAAAATAAAGTTACCATGTACAACACAGAACTAACTATATTTAATTACATAACATCTGGTCGAAAGATTATTCTTACACATCCAAGAGTTATAAAACCTTGGAGAGAACACACTTGGTTCAGGTATTTAACATGCTTTGAATATTAATGCGTGTATCTCTGCCCCAGAAGTCCTTGAAACAGTATGCTGCATCAAAATAAAGTGCTAAATTATATTTTAGGTCAATAACAAACACTTGTTTAGTATTACCTCAGAGACTTGACTTCACCTTTTCAGCACAGGGTTACCACTCGAAATGCTGAAGAATGTTGAGCAGTTTTCTGACGAGGGGAGGGTCCCATCAGAACACTGATAAGAACTCACCAATGGCAACCCCAGAAAAACTGTTGCATTGGAAAGAGGCCAAGAAGGTGGTCATTTAGAGGTTTAAAATTTTACTTTTAAAATTCAGAAAGCAGCATCATGTTCAGAAGTTATCACTAGAAACACTTCATGATTTGTTTGTCATGAGCTGTATACTCCTGCTGTGTATGTACTTCATGTAGGTATTTTTACATTGTTGTGTTGCCACAGTGAGCTCAGTGTTGGGGCTGTTCTAACTTTAACTTTAGGAACTCAGTATTTATGCAACAGTGGCTGTTTTAGGAAGTTGACATATCCTTTACTTGCACACAATGTATTTATAATCTTTGTTTATACCAGCAACAAGTCTGCAAGACTGTGCTTAGGAGTTACAGTGCTTTGAGCTAAATTCAATTCAATTCAGTAGAACTTTATAATTGGTAACTGTGTCTCAGACCACATGGCCTTGACCTGTGGGGTGCCCCAAGGATCAATCCTGGGACCCCTTCTGTTCAATCTCTACATGCTGCCTTTAGGCCAGTTAATACAAAGTAATAATGTGTCCTACCACAATTATGCAGACGACACTCAGATCTATGTCTCACTGACAGCAGGTGAATATGGACCAGTGGATTCACTCTGTCACTGCATCCAACAGGTCAGTGTGTAGATGCAAAACAACTTTCTCCAGCTAAATTCAGACAAGACTGAAGTCATTGTATTTGGTCCACAGAAACAAAGAGAAAGTGTCAGCAGTCACCTCCAGTCTCTCTCTCTAAAACCTACAAATCAGGTTAGAAATCTCGGGGTAATAATGGACTCAGACTTGAACTTTAACAGCCACATCAAATCAATAACATCAGCAGCTTTTTACCATCTAAAAAACATTGCCAAAATCAAAGGTATAGTGTCTAAACCTGACTTGGAGAGACTTATCCATGCATTTGTCTCCAGTAGGTTAGACTACTGTAACGGCCTGCTCACTGGCCTCTCCAAACGGGCCGTAAGACAGCTGCAGTACATCCAGAATGCTGCTGCTCGGGTCCTGACCAGAACCAGGAAGTACGAGCACATTAGTCCTGTGCTCAGGTCTCTACACTGGCTTCCTGTGGCTCAGAGAATAGACTTTAAAGCAGCTCTGCTTGTGTACAAGTCTCTCCACGCCTAGCACCAAAGTACATCTCTGACATGTTAGTGCCATATGAACCATCTCGGACTCTGAGGACCTCAGGGACCGGCCTCGTGCTGGTGCCCAGAGTCAGGACTAAACACGGGGAATCAGGATTCCAGTTTTATGCAGCTAAAATCTGGAACAGTCTTTCTGAAGATGTGAGACAGGCCTCTACTCTGACAATGTTCAAATCTAGGCTCAAAACAGCTCTATTTCACTGTGCATATGACTGAAAGGATCTTATCTGCACTCTTCTCTTTTAAAGTTCATTTTATAATGATTATTTATGTTTTTATTTTGTATTGTGATTTTAATGCATTTTCTTGTTCTGTAAAGCACTTTGAATTACTTTGTGTACGAATTGTGCTCTACAAATAAACTTGCCTTGCCTTGCCTTTATTTATCCTGAAGGGAATTCTGGAGCCAGTGAATGCTTCACATTACGGTAACACTAAGTTCAGTAACCACAATTTCAAGTATTCACAACCAGTACCAACCAGACAACCAGTGTGTTCCCTGGGTCAGGGTCAATGATTAGAAGCAAAAAAACAGTGTCTAATAGAGTAACAACAGGAGTACAATAAGTACAAAACATGAACTAAAAGGTGGAAAAAACAGACTGATGACTGATAATCAGTGTTATATTGTATATAATATGACAATAAGAAGTAGTTTTGCACATTAATGAGAAAATTACATTGCACCACATTGACAAGTGAACATGATGTAAAAAATGTTGCACAAGATATTGAAAAGTAAGTAACAGTGCACTTACTGTGGGTCAATATTGCTGTTTCAGCTCTCCTCCCTACAGAATAAAGTTTGAAGGCCACAGCTAGAAAAGATCTCCAGACTGTATAACTCCCCACACTAAATGCTTACATCAGTATGCTAATATGCAGTTACAGTCAGGGCATGTGAGCAGAGTCTGAGCTAGCAGGGAGTAAGAGTGGAATGATTTTAGATGCAGAGCAGATGTTTTAAACACTAAAGTGTCACTTATCTCTCACTCCAATTTGCTGCAGTACCGCCACCATGAGTTTGAAGCATGTCCAAAATAGCTTCAAAAAGAGATGCTAATGGATGTTTGACTTGAGTTGGATTGTGTGCTTTTTTTTTTTTTTTTAAGTGAAATGAAATTATGCATTGAAAGTAGCCTGGGAGGAAACCAGATGAATCTGTTGACCTCATGTTTTATTTGTGAATCATACAATGTAAGCAATTTAAATTTAATTTAATTCAATTTAAGTGAAGCTTGGTGAAATCTGAGTACCGAGCGATATTGGTTCATATGCTGATGCTAACATGCTAAGTAAGTATTTGTTGCTGTGTTCACCATTTTAGTGTAGCATGTAATGCGTTAATCTGCTAATTAGCCTTAAACAGAAATTACAGCTGATGTCATAAACTAAAGAACTTGACAACTTACATTTTCAACCTGAGGATGCCACTGAATGAGCCTTTGGTGCCAAACTATCACAGTTCATCCTGGGGGGACCATGAATGTCTGAAAAAATTTCCTGACAGTCCATCAAGCAGTGATGGAGATATTTTAGTCAGAGCCATAAATGTCAGCCTTATGGTGGGTCCTGAAGAAAGGCATTCTCAGAACCCATCGGCTGTATTCGGCATCTGACTTCTGGCAGATAGTGATACAGCCTCTGGGGCCAGACCCCTGATTTTTTGGCTTTCCGGTTTGATTTGGGCGGAGGAGGCGAATTTCCGTTTCTGACTTCCGTTTATATATAAGTAAATATGCTGAACCACTGCGATGGATTCAGAGTTTGCAGTGACACCAGTTATGTTCCGCCTCGTTAGTTCACTGCACGGACCGTTTAACCTGGCAACGTCTGCGGCCAGCTCAAACGTGATTGGTCAATATCATGCGGACTACAAACAGCCTACAACCAGAAACCAGGGCTCTTCTGCTCTTCTTCCGGAGGCAGGATCTCCGGGGTTTGCCTACAGACTCTACATTCACTGAATGTAGAGTCTGTATATAGAGACTAGAAGAACGGTAAGGAGCTCGCCAAAGAAATTTGAATTCATCCCCTTGAAACCCTGCATGTCAGCAGACTACCACATTTTGTGACAATACATTAAGTATCTGTTAAGTTATTTCACCTAGTTAGGCTTAAAGAAAAGTTTGACCTGCTGGTAGAGATACATTAACAGTGCTTTCAGACCTAGAGTTGTCTTGCTTTGGTCTGAATCAGGGACTAATTTTCTTACAAAGTTCTATAATTGCCTAGAGGTGGTTCGTGTTCTCACGGCAGCATTTACAAGCGGACCAGATCAAATGCCTTGTGTGAGAAAGCTGCTCTTGATTGGTCAGAATTTCCATGTGGGAAAAATCCAGGAAGTAAAGCAAACGTTGAAGAAGTGTACACTTGCAAGATGAATGTGACACTTTCTAATGTCAGATCCAGATCCAGGTCGGAACACGTTCTCACCACAAACGAACCGCACCAGAGTTCGTTTGTAACCAGACCGAGACCACCTCTTCAAGAAGGTTGAGTGAGATTGCTGTGTTCACACCTGCCCAAACGAACCGCACTGAGGGGGCAGATGAACTTCAGTTTGACTGACGCAAACCAAACAGGGCAGTTGTAAAAGCACCCTAAAAGTCAAAGGATCATCACAGTCATTAGGATTCATCCTCTGTGGACCATAAATATAAGTACCAAATTCCATGGTGATCCATGAAATAATTGTCAAGATATCTCAGCCTGTACCAAAAATAAAAAGAAGTAAGACATTGAAGGAAACTTTAAAAGGAGGAGGACATTATCGATCTAACCCAGCTTGTGTTTTATTTTGCTGTTGCACTGACTGTACAACCCAAATGCTTTTGGAGATGTTGTCTGAAGCTGGAGGCCACAGTTCTGCCCTGCTGGAGTTTTGAGGCCCTCCACAGACAAAACACTGGGGGTCACTCCCCTCACCCACTAAGCTTGGGGTTCCAGCCATATGGACCATTTCTGCGTCTGACCCCATCTCTAAGCTCGAGATGGTTTTAATAAAACAATTAACGCTTTCTTCAAAGGTTAAACACTTCATTTATCAGTTAATTTGCTCTGGACGAACTCCACTGCAGCACCAGAGGGCAAATTACTATATGTTGAAATAGCTTTCAAAGACTCTCTTTGTCATTTTAATTTGTCATGCTCTCTCTGTATATCTTTCACTCCATTGCGTCCATTCTGGCAGTTCCCCATCTGATCCCCCCCTGTTCCAACTCTGATGAAACCCTGCAAGGCCTGGCTAGGCTCCACTTATCCCCAGCCTCTCATGGGTATCCCAGGCCATTGATTTCTCTTCTGGCCTCCTAAACCAGCAAAATAGAGAGCTACGGGTAGGGTCAGGTAATCAATAGCAGTTATGAAACAATGCACAAAAGCTGCTACGGTCGCCTACATTGTTACCTCCTGGTTATGGCTGTGGAAACTGAAGGTATTTATGCTTAAATGTAAAATGTAAAAACTCACACATTACATTTAAATGCATGTACTGTAAATACATGAAGTCTCACGTACAGCTGAGAGATAAATCTTAATGCAGCAGGAAATAGAGAGCATTTACTGTCTCTGGCAGGGCGATAACATGCCCTTCACAGAGGGAATAAAAGAGCTGCACAAATAGATCAGCCACTGTCACCGGATCAAGTGACACAATGAGCAGGGTGAAGCTCTGTAAATTACAGCCTGGCAGAATTTGCAAGGAGATATTGATGGAGTGCGGACAATGTGGCAGTGCCCGCATGTTCGAGGGGCTGCTCAGCTTTGGCTGCTATGATCATCTGGCAGGACGCTGGGGAGTG